AGGGTTTAGAAATCAGTTAAGTCTTCAGGGCTCCTATGACAGGAGATCTAGGAGCTACTGCGACCAGCAGAAGAGAGATAAAACTGTAGAAAATATGAGGACTGTAACGTCTTGGACAAAAAAAGTGCTTGTGTGGTAAATGAACATTCACTAGCATTGATTTCCAGCTTTAAAATTCAGTTTGGTTAGCAAAATTCTAATCAAGTTTAATCTGTCCATGCATTCTCTTCATAATGTCATTTACATTTTAGCGTAAAAATTAGCAAATGCTTAACAAGAGAGGGAAGAGTTGACATGCTTATCTTGTTGCAAACATAACCAAGGATCTTGGCCACAAGATGGAGCTGTTGCAGAGCTTAATTTATTTTTATACCAGCATTCCCTCTTCGGTGGAAAGGATTTTTCTTTTCTCTTGTACCTTTCATTTTAGGGGAAGGGGGGTGAGAATCAATTTTATCTCACCCATCAACACATTCCCAGTGCAGCTATAACTGCCAAATGTCTCCTTTCTTGCACATTAAACCGAAAAGAGCTTCTCAGCGGTAGCATCCGAGTTGTGAAAAACTCTGAAGAGACTCCTCTGTCTTCCTTTTCTTGCTAGGTGAAGTGTGTGTGTGTGTGTGTGTGTGTGTGTGTGTACATATATACATACAGTATATATGCATGCCTCTAAAAGGCTCGAATGTGTGTGCTGTGAGGCTGCTATTGTACTGACTGACTTTATCGGTGTTTGTCTTTATGCTTCATTTGTGATGCTATAATAATAATAATAATAATAATAATAATAATAATAATAATAATTTATTTATACCCCGCCCATCTGGCTGGGTTTCCCCAGCCACTCTGGGCAGCTTCCAACAAAACACTAAAATACAATAACCTATTAAACTTTAAAGGCTTCCCTAAACAGGGCTGCCTTTGCATCGCATGTTTGATTTTCAAAATGTAAGCCACTCAAATAATCCTGGTTATAAAGCAGCACAGGGGACACGGGTGGTGCTGTGGGTTAAACCACAGAGCCTAGGGCTTGCCGATCAGAAGGTCGGCGGTTTGAATCCCCGCGACGGGGTGAGCTCCCGTTGCTCGGTCCCTGCTCCTGCCAACCTAGCAGTTCAAAAGCACGTCAAAGTGCAAGTAGATAAATAGGTACCGCTCCAGCGAGAGCGCCTGGCCACCTGGCTGACTTTCCACTGCGCTCTGGGGCCAGGAAAACCCTGGAGCTGATGCAGGGAGAAGGAGGAGAGGAGAAGGAGAAGAAAGTGAGAGAAAGAGGAAGGAGGAAAAAGAGGGGAGGCCTGACCTTGCTGCGCCGCTGCTGCTGCCGCTGCTGAGGAAGAGAGGTAGGAGAACACCAGGAGGGCAAGGAGACGTAGCCGAGCCCAGGCCCGACCCGAGCCTACTCCATGAGAGCAGGCTGGGGCCCAGTGGAAGTCCACAGAAGAGACCACAGAAGAGAAGATATTACTACCTAATTTTTTTTTTAAAAAATAACTTTTTTCACTCTCTTTAAAAAAAAAAAAAAAGTGTCCCTGGATTCTTTGGAAAAAATCTGGTAACCTTAGCCTAAAAGGCTGAAATGCAGGGAAATGAAACTGAGGCGCCCTGTCTGTGAAGCAGCCGCTGTCTACTGTGTAACCTCTACAGACACAATATCTTTCTTGGGATCAGAATTTGGCTAACCCAGAAATTTCTGTGGACCTCAACTGAAGCAAGATACAGAATGGCCCCAGGAATAATCCATCCAATAATACTCTTTAATCGGGAGATTTTAACCTTTCCCGGTCATCCTGCTGCTGAAAGGGCCATCAATCAGTGGTTTGCATGCAGAAGGTTTTAAGTGTAAACCCTCGCATTTCCTGGTAGGGAAGGGGCAGACCCCTGCTTGAAAACCTAGAAAGATGCTGCCAGACAACCATTTTATCTAATTATTTAATTAAATCAACAGCTCAGTAATAAGAGCATACTTAGCAAGGCCACTGTGTGCTAGGAGTTCAGGCAGAGCTGAAATGAATTTGTACTTCAACATTCTCCCTTGCATTTTGTTCCTCTAGATGTTCTCTGGATGTATGAATATTTGGAGAATATTCTCCAAATGTTTTAGTTTTTAGTATCTAGCACCAAGCAGGGCATAAATATTGTTCAGATTAAAAGGCAGACATGAAGTAAGGTACTTAGGTTGAGTAAAACCAGCTTCTGGGCAACTACCGTATTTTTCGCCCTATAGGACGCACTTTTCCCCCTCCAAAAATGAAGGGGAAAAGTGTGTGCGTCCTGTGGGGCGAATGCAGGCTTTCGCTGACGCCTGGAGAGCGAGAGGGGTTGGTGCGCACCGACCCCTCTCGCTCTCCAGGCTTCAGGAAGCTCTCCGCAAGCTGGGGGGGGGGCTGCGCGAAGTCGCGCAGCTCTCCCACGGCTTGTGGAGAGCTGCCTGTTCTGGGGGCTGGGGTCGGGGGACGCTCGGGCTTCCCCAGCCCCGCGCCTGGAGGGTAAATAAATTGTTTTTTCTTTATTTCCCCCCCCAAAAAAACTAGGTGCGTCCTATGGGCCGGTGCGCCCTATGGGCCAAAAAATACGGTAGCTTGTTGGGTACCACTAAAAAAAACAAAACAGATAAAATTTGAAAGCATTTCTCTGCAACTTGAATTATGGAGATTCACACTGTTAGTTGCTATGGGACTTGCTATGGGACTTGATTAAAGAGACTTTGCCCAGTAAATCCAGGAAAAACAGAGAGAATATTAGCCAGCCATTTGCTCAATAGACTCATCTTTCTCTAATTATTCAACTTCTCTGTTTTCAGAAATAGGTTAATGATTACAGTCAGGTCAGTCTGATATGCACAGCTGCGTTCAGAGTGTCTGGATATGAAGCAGGTTTCCATGTGCCCAGAGGAATGAAAAGGTCTCTTGGACTGGGTGCACACCATACCTTTAAAACACATGACTTCCCCCAAAGAATCCTGGGAACTGTAGTTTCTTAAGGGTGCTGGGAATTGTAGTTCTGTGGGAGGTAAACACACAGCTCTCAGGATTCTGTGGGGTAAACAATGTGCTTTAAACATATGGTGTGTACGCAGCCTAGTGTTTTAAGACTACATAAACAGCAAGATTTCATGTCCAGAAGAGGTTAAAAAAGCAGGATTTGGAAAAGAAGATCCACCCAGCTGCATGTTCAAATATTTGGCAAATACAGTTGTTTTTAAATTTGTATTTGACACCCAGTGGTCTTTGGTTTCTGCATTTGTTATGCAGCCATTCATTCATTCCTCCGTGTATAGGGCGGTATATAAATTCAATTAATAATAATAATAATAATTCATTTAACTTTTTTTTAAAAAAAAACGGTATATAGGACTACAGAGTTCTCTCTGTAGGGCTGACTAACGGTCCCTTTATAAGTCCCTGACCACAGCCTGCACCCTAGCTCCCCTCAGGGAGCACAGACCTTTCTCAAGCAGAAGCAAATGAAGTGGGGGAGACCTACTTAGGGTCCCTTCCGGAAACGAGGGTTATGTGCTCCCACTCCTTTTCTACATTCCCAAGCCTGGCATGCTGCAACTTGGAAGTTACTCCAGATTGGCTTTTACCTTCTCTATTTAATAATGCATCCCGGCAGAGCTGCTTCTTCAGACGCACTGTTCCGTGGCCTGCACAAAAGAAAGCAACAAGGCTTCCCGTGTTCCACAATAGGCAGCCAAAAGAAATTGCTTTGGATGTGCTGCTGTTCCTTTCTGCCTTTTTATTGGGGTGTCCAGGCACATTTACTGTCTCATCACAATCTAAAACAACCAAAGATTCTTGCGTCACTTAAAAAATAAAATAGGTACAATATTAACTGGGGCATGTTTTGTGGACTTTGACAGATCTGGTAATTTTGCTGCTATAGACTAACATGAAATCACCACAGTCTATGCCAGGGGTGGGAAACCTGTGGCTCTAGAGTTGTTGGACAACAACTCCCATCACCCCCAGCCCTCATGGCTGATGATCAGGGATTATGGGAGTTGTAGTCCTCACTCCTGGTCTAGGTGATCATTTTTGTCCAGTTGTCACAAAAGCAGTGCCATTGACCATACATTCTGATATCACACTGAGGTTGGCTGAGCAACTTTTCTTCACGTCCTGTGCTAAAGTTGGCTATTGGATGAAGAATCCAAAATCCACAGCAGGGTAATATCAACTAAAATAGTACAAAATCTGGCTCATACTTTTAATTAATATTGTATACAGTTTCATGTAAGCTGCTTAAAGACTTTTGTCAATTAAGAGGTATATAAATCTTGGCAAATAAAAGAAAGATGAAATTCCCACCAAAGAAGAATGGATAAGCAAGGTGATGGACTATGCAGAATTGGCAAAGTTAACAGCCAAAATAGAAGAATCTAACAATGAGAGCTTTGTGGAAGAATGGAAGCTTTTTTTTAAAACTATTTAAAGAAATATTATAGTTTGATGAACTCGCAAGCAGGGTTTGAAATATAAGCAACAGATGTAATTAGAGCATACAGTATTGTTGTGCTGATATATGAAATAGAGGGTATTGTGCAGCGGGGGGGGGGGGGCAGAATTAAAACACCCTGAAAAATGGGACGGGAAGTTGAGAAAATATAAATTTATTATATATTGAAGTATATATGTCAATTTTTTGAAAATTTCAATAAAAAATTATTACCCAAAAATTGTCAAATAAATAAACCAGTAAGATTTCGACTTCTCTGGCACCCACTGGTTATCCACTTCACATTCACACTTGTATGTTCCATCGCTTCCCTCTGGTTGCTTATGACATAATGAATGAGCAGTGAGTCATTTGGGCCTAGTCTTGTAAGATACTAATATTGGCAAATAAAGCAAGGCTCCAGGACAGTTGCATCAGTGCAACGTCATGCCTATAATACTATGCCAGTGTTGCTAACCAATCCATGACATGGTCACGGCACAACATTATGAGTCGATGCTACTATGGTTACAATGGTTGTCATCACTAGATGTGCCATAATAGCGATAGACAAAGGCATTCTTTACGTCCCATGTACACTTATGCTTAGGATCAAACTCAAGTAAGACACGTTTCCAAGTAAATATGCATAGGACCAGGGTATAAGAAGCACAGGAATGAATGGATAATAGGGGACATTGTCAAAATAGAATGACGTCAACCCAGCTTTCTTCTCTTTCCAGAACTGGCCTACCAGATGCCTCCAGAAAGACCAGAAGAAGGGCATGAAGACCACAATATTCCTCAATTATTATTATTTTGTCCCCAAAAGTATATTGTGGCCCAGTGGTAGAGCACCTGCTTTTTGTGCAGAAGGCTCCGGGTTCAATCCTCAGCATCTTCAGGTAGGGCGAGGAGACCCATCTGAAGTCCTGGAGAGCTGCGGCCAGTTATTGTTGAAAATACTGAGCTAGATCAGAGATCAATGGTCCAACTCCCTACAAGGCAGCTTCCTATGTTCCCATGTCTCTGAACTTGAAGGTTTTCTAACAGCTTTGCTCTCCTAGCACACTTATTTGGGAATCAGTCCAGCTCCCAGGAGCTCAAGAGACCCTGCTTCTTGAGACCGTCGCTGGACCTTGCCTCATGGGTGGACCGGCGCTGCCATTACTTCTGAACGAGGCAACCCGGGCTTCATTTATCTATACATTTTATTTTGTTTTTAAAGACCGCCATTTGAGGGCAAAAGCTGCCTTGATTTATATGTTGCTTTCCCACAGCTGGTGCCAAAGCAACTTCCATAGCAGCCATTTGACGATTATTTAAATGCAACCTCACATTTGAAACGCGACGTTCTGGATTTTTCTGACCCATTTGCAATCTCCCTTTCTTTGCAGCAAGCTGTGTGTGTATGTTTGAATGTTTGTGCACACCTGTAACTCAGTACTGCGGAACACTTTATGCATCTGAGGAAGTGAGCTGTAGCCTACAAAAGCTGACACCCTAATAAACTTCCATTACCCTTTTATGATGTCACCAACAAACACTCTGCTTTTGCTGCAACAGCCAGGAGCGACACAACACACCCTTCTGAAAAATACCTTAACATTTACGTAATTTAAACACCCTATGTTGTTGTTGTTTAGTTGTTTAGTTGTGTCCGACTCTTCGTGACCCCATGGACCAGAGCACGCCAGGCCCTCCTGTCTTCCACTGCCTCCCAGAGAGCCAGTGTGGTGTAGTGGTTAAGAGCGGTAGATTCGTAATCTGGGGACCCGGGTTCGCGTCTCCGCTCCTCCACATGCAGCTGCTGGGTGACCTTGGGCCAGTCACACTTCTTTGAAGTCTCTCAGCCCCACTCACCTCAGAGTGTTTGTTGTGGGGGAGGAAGGGAAAGGAGAATGTTAGCCGCTTTGAGACTCCTTCGGGTAGTGATAAAGTGGGATATCAAATCCAAACTCTTCTTCTTCTTCTCCTTCTTCTTCCCGCAGTTTGGTCAAACTCATGCTGGTAGCTTCGAGAACACTGTCCAACCTTCTCGTCCTCTGTCGTCCCCTTCTCCTTGTGCCCTCCATCTTTCCCAACATCAGGGTCTTTTCCAGGGAGTCTTCTCTTCTCATGAGGTGGCCAAAGTATTGGAGCCACAGCTTCAGGATCTGTCCTTCCAGTGAGCACTCAGGGCTGATTTCCTTCAGAATGGATAGGTTTGATCTTCTTGCAGTCCATGGGACTCTCAAGAGTTTCCTCCAGAACCATAATTCAAAAGCATCAATTCTTCGGCGACCAGCCTTCTTTATGGTCCAGCTCTCACTTCCATACATCAGACACCCTATACAGTGGTACCTCGGGTTACATACGCTTCAGGTTACAGACTCCGCTAACCCAGAAATAGTACGTGTTAAGAACTTTGCTTCAGGATGAGAACAGAAATCGTGCTCCGCCGGCACGGCAGCACCAGGAGGCCTCATTAGCTAAAGTGGTGCTTCAGGTTAAGAACAGACCTCCGGAACGAATTAAGTACTTAACCCGAGGTACCACTGTACTAGCCGCCTATCTGGATTTGATGCTACAGAAGCACACACCCTCCCCCCAATTTGCATTGCTCCGTCCTAAACTCCAAGGCGCGGTTCGGAATTTGCATGGGGGGGGGTTGCCCCTTTTCCACATGGGTTGCTCCGCTCCCTCCCCCTCCGTAACGCCGCCTGCGGGCGAGGCAGAAAAGAGAGCGAGCGGCGAGGAAAAAGGGGCGTTCCCTCCAGCATCTCCCTCAAGAGTGGGCGGGGAGCTGAACCCGCCGTCCCCCCCGAGGCGGTCGCCCCTCCCTCCCACTCGCCAGCTCGGGCGCCATTGGCCGGCTGCGGCTCGCGAAGCTCCTCTGATTGGCCGGGCCCTCCTCCTCGGAGGGGCGTGGCCCGGGCCTGCGGGCCCGCCCTGTCCCTCCGTGCCCCCTCCCTCCTGCAGGGCGAGAAAGAGGCGGCGAGTCGCGCGCGGCGGCTGGCCTTTGGGCGGGTGCCTCGCGATGCTGCTGCCGCCGCCGCCGCCGCCCTCGTCGCTTCTGCCGGGAGGCGCCCCGGGCGCTGGAGCGCGAGCCATGGCGGGGCCGGAGCTCCAGGACGAGGCCGGCCTCCGCGAGCAGCAGGACGAAGGCGGGGAGCGAGGCCGCGGCGGGGCCACGGCCGAGTGCGCCCGGGGCCGGGCGGCCGTGGCCAGCAGGGCGGTGTCCGAGGCGGAGGCCGCTGCGTCAGCTGCCCAAGGGGACCCCGACGGCGCCGGTCCCCGCTGGGGAGCCCAGCACGCCGGAGCCCGCGAGCTGGCCGAGCTCTACTCCCCCGGTGAGGCCGGCGTGAGCGGGGCGGGGGGGGGGGGAGAAGAAGGGGTTATTTCTCTCGCCTCTGGGTTAAAACGTGGCGCGGGTGGGACTCCGGGTCTGACGCAGGTCAAGGGTTCTGTTCACACGTGACGCCCGGTATCTGCCTTCGGCGCGCTCCTGGAACGTTTGAAGCCTTCCCCACGCACGCACCTCGCCCCTAGTGGAAAGCGTGGCCTGCTTCACACCTGCAAGGAACACCTCATTTACTCTTCTACTCGGGATTGTTGCGCACTTGAGGAATGGCAGCCGGGTGTGTGTGAAGTGACTCTCCTGGAAAGGGAGTTCCTGGGAATATTCTGCTGCTAGAGAAGGCAAATCGGCACCATGCTCTAACCAACTTTTCTTTCTGCAAGTTGTGACTAGATTTTATTGCTTAGCTCATTGGGTAGGTTAGTTGGTTGGAAAGAATAATAACTATAATCTGCCTAATCAGTTAATTAATGTCTCTCATATATATATTCTACCTGATGACTCCTTGGCTCCCTTTATTAGCTAAACAAAAGGATTTATCAAATCAATCCAACAAATATTGTTCTGGTTGGTCCTTTGACATATGCAGGTCCATCCTAGAAGTGGCAATACTTGTGGATGTGAAGTGGAAGAGAAGGTTTTGAGGCCAGCTGGCATGTGGGCATGCATACTTGAAATTCAGATTTAGTTGGCAGAATATTGTTAATTAACTACTATTTCTTTCAACTGATGATTTTTTCAATGTAGTGATTTTGTAGTAAAAGTAACTGGACTGTGAACTTGTCCTGTAAAGTCAACAAACACCCATGATACAAGTATCCTTGCCAGCTATGATTAGCTGCAAATCTCTGTTGAGTGACAAATGTGTGGTTGTTGCCATGTAATGTGTGAGATGACTTTGTAGAGGCATAGAGGTATGTTTCTTCTTTCTAGAGGTATGTTGCAAAAGCTCACACTGGCAAACCCGACCATTTTTTACAGTTGAATAACTACTATAAAGTAGCCATGTCCTTAATATTCTCCACTGGGAGATTATTTCCCAGGAGATTTGCTAAAAGCCTGAGGCTATGTATCTTAACAGAAGTGATGTTGCATGTGTTTATTCATAGTGGTTTTGGGTGGTTAGGGCAGGTAATATGTTTTGTGGCAAGTTTAGGCTACAAGGCTAAAAAACTATTCTTATCTATTGTTTTACAGTGAGGACAGTGGTGTGATCTTACATATTCACATGTGCTTTAGTATTCCCACTGCATATGAATTTAAAGAAAAATCTGCATTTCATCCTAATAGTTATGATGATTCGTTTTACGAAATAGTGTGTTTGAATAGTTGCCCATTTCCTGTTTTCTTCTCCAAAAGTAGTGTTACAAAGGCCCCATGGTCATTTCAGGTTTTTTCCTGAAATTAGTTACTATGTTGGGAGTATATACTGTATCATATGAAAGAGCTCTTTGAACCCTTTCTGCAGTCCTGTAATGGGGGGAACCTGTGGCCCTCCAGATTTTGGACTACAGTTCCCATTATCCTGGCAGTTAGACTTGCTGGTTGGGGCCGATGGGAGTTTAAGTCTGTCTGGAGGGTGCCCCTTTCAGCTCTAGCATTAGTTTACTATTTTAGGTGGTGTGAGGGTAAGCAAGCAGGTAATTCTTGTGTTTCCATCTTTGGGTGTGGTGAACAGAAAAATGGGCATGCAATAAAGTTTCTTTTTTATAGTTTCTAAGTTCAGTTTCCCTACTGGGCATCTGGCTGAAACCCTACTTAAAATACAGTAATTTACCCAGCCGTGAGGGCAGGCCCTGACTGGTTGGCCTTTCCCTTGAAACCCAGAGACTGATTATTTTGGGCAGACCATTCTGTTGGCCCAGCCAGTGTGATTCGATCAGATATTTGTTATCTCAGCCTCATGGGTAGCTGCTACATGGCTGATAGAACATTTTGAGCTGGGGTGGGCAGCCCTCAGCCCCATTTTGTGAGAGGAGAAAGATGTAGTGAAATAGATGTAGTGACAGAAACCCACTGCAAGTGATTGGTTCAGGACTCTTGTCGAGAATGATCTGCCCTTTCCCCAGTTGCCATCTGGGTGGAGAGGGTGAGAGAAAGGTGTCTGAAACAGAAATGGGAGTGGCAGGGAGAGAGGGTTGGGTGGCCCTGCTCACTGCTGGTATGCACCCCTAACAGAGGGCATTAGGGTCAGAGGTGTTGCCAGAAATCCAGTGCATGGTAGTCATTTGAAATACTTTTTGTGACCCCATCATAAATATTGTTTCCTTTTTTAGTAAGTGCCATATGATAAGTGCCGGCTGGCAGTTGGAACAGGAATCTGGAGAAAAGTCATAGACCTTCGCAGGATTTCCTACTTCCCTTGCCCTTCATAGAACACCATTTAAGAAATAATAAGCAGCAAGCTTGGGGAACATAAAAGAAAGAGCAAGGCTTACGGATCCTGTAGTGCCAAACATTTGTATATACTTGGGAATCTTTCAGACATCTCTAGGGCTGGTATCTTTAAAACTCGCTGGTAACTTAGATATTCATGGCATTCAGAAACTTGGGCCCTCCTCCTTCAGTTCAGCACAAGACATTTTGTCTTGGCCAGCCGAACACTGTGAGAATCTAAGTCTCGCCTTCGTTCAGGAAACAGCACGTACTTCCTTCGGTAACTTTCCTGCCTCATGTGACTAAGGCTTATAAGTGTGCTTTTTAGGTCACTTTCTTGCTGTACTGAAAGACAAAACCCCACCCATCCCAGGCTCCAGTGAATGAAGCCTGCAGATGCCAGCCCTTAGTGGATGCAGTTGCAGTGCAAACTGATCTCCTTGATTTAATTCTGTTTTGTCAGCCTGTCATCTTGCCACTGCTGATAGGAGCTGGCATCTCTTCAGTGTATAAGAAAGTTGTTTAAGGTATTTTTTTTTTAACTGTTTGCAGTCTTAATTGCATTTGGAAAGGCTTAGGATTCTGTGTTGGGCTTCTTGAGACAAAGCATGCAAATAAGCCTGGGAGTCACTAGTCCACCCCACTTAACCTGTCTGTGTTATTCATGGCACATCAGTGTGCCACAGAAGATCCAACTCCTAAAATTTACAAAAGCTTCACTGTCTTAGTCACCAGCAGGTGACTTGGTACTCTGTTTGAGTGAGTGGCTATTTACAAGTCTGCTTTAGAGCAAGCTCCTGTTCGTAGCAGAAACAACTGATTAACCCCACATTTAAGTCTCCTTCATGGGCTATTTCAAACATTTTAAAAGATGTTTGGGGAGTTTGAAATCCAGTTGTCTGAGGACGTGTCTGGCTATATTGATTTTGTTCCAGAAATCTAGCACACGCAAGAGCTGGCAGTGTCCCTATTTTGCAGTTGTTGTAGGAACAGCAAATATGTCTTGTTCAAGGTTACAGCACAAATAGGAACCCTTTGTGTTCCTAAAGGAACACAGAACTTTTTAAGGTTTGGAAGAGGCTTAAAATAGGAATTGGCAGCTTAAAGGCTCTCCACTTTAATCAGGTCCTCCGAGGGGGTACTCCCTGACCCACGTTTTGCCAACCCAGAGGAAAGACGTGTGTATTATGAAGGGGATGGCATCAGTGGTAATAGGACTTACCAGTCCTTCATGCCTTAACCCATTCACAGAACAGACATCTAAGAAATCTAGTTACTGAACAAGCTTAAAGGGAAGCCGTTGGAAAAGCTTTTCTTATGTTTCTAGATCTGAAGCCCTGCACTTCCATTGTTTCTAACTACCATTGTTGCCTAAAAAATAAAATGTTGGACTTGTCTCAACGGATTTTCGCTTCAGATTTCTTCTTAGCCATGTGTGACCCACCACACATCCCAGTCTGAATATCTGAAACTGGAAGAGTAGCAACCTATTAAAGTGCTTGGATATTAAATACCGCACTACTCATAATGTCTAAATGAAAATAGGCAACTTGTGTGAGTAATGCTGGAAATAGGTTTCTATTCAGAATCTAAGCCTGCAATTATGATTTAGTCCATGTGCTTATTAGGGTGCGGTGGAGGGAACTTGAGTCAGTTCATTGTACTCTGGCAGTGGACTGTCTCGTTGATACACATTTGATTTCCAGTGGCATTTCTTTTCTTTTTAAGGTGATTTCTGAAGAAGTTAAGAAAAGGCAGGTTCTTTGTTATGTCTGAACATGTGTGGCTTTAAAAGAGGACAATGTATCCTATTTTTTTCTAGGAGTCTAATGATTGCTACCCAAGCTGTTGCCAAAATTGAATGCAGTACAAAAAGTTCACTGAATGTAAATCTGTGGATCACTGGTGCTCACAAGAGGATGGTGCAGAAAGTAACCTAAATTGAGAAAAGAAACCAGAGTTTTTAAAGTTTGATGCAAGCCAAACTGGGTTAATTCTGTTGGTAGAGCATGGACTCTTAATCTCAGGGTTGTGGGTTTGAGCCCCACATTGGGCAAAAGATTCCTGCATTGCAGAGGGTTGGACTAGATGATCTTTGTGGTCCCGTTCCAGCTCTCCAGTTCTATGATTCTATGAAACAGGAAGCTTACATGCTCCAAGAGGGTGACTTAACTTATTCCAGGAGCCATGATCACAAGCATGGCTTTGTAGGGGCTGTAAACCACATGTAAAGTGGACTGTATGGACATTATCTCTCTCATAACAATTAAGCTAGATCTATATGTGCTGTGGCACTGAGCATTCCACTCCTGCTTCACTCCACTGACAGTTGCTTTGAAAGAAAAATAACTGGGTACAGTGACACTGAATTACATCTGTTTTAAATGTCACTGGGATTATGTAGGTTGGCAGCAGACATGATTCCGTGTTTCCTTTGTGCAACTTGCAGTTTTACTGTGAGTAGATCATTCACTTTGCTCTGACTTCTATGTGGCTATGCACCAGTGTAAATGACAGCATGGAGAACTTCAGTACATGTATTAGACCATGGCATTTGGATTTAATAGACATTTCTTCTTCGCTACTCTGGGTCTCTTCCACACTTTCTTAGCAACATAGATTTTCATGCTTGGTTTTTAATTTGCAGGTGATTTCAAAATGCTCTTAGTGCACCCGCCTGTTCAGAAACTTTGGGTCGTATAAGTTGTTCCTACATCTCTGGTGAAAGGCACATGTCAGTTTCAGCAATTTTCCCTCTCCCTACATCCCCCTAAAATTTGTTCTATAGGTTTCAAGGACACTTGAAGGTTTGGGAGGGTGTGTGTGTGTGTGTGGATAGGGTCATTGGAAATTTGCTTCTCTCCACATTCTGCTGAGAGATGCCTTCCATCAGAAAAGGGAGACCAGGATACCACCCATTATGGATGTGGACTGACAGTTCATTTGCAGTTACACCGTTACAGTAACAGGTAAAATAACTTCTAAATTTCACATGATGGAAAATTTTCTATCGCTGTTGCAGGATAATTGCAGGTTCTTTTGGCACATTGCCAGCAGACTTTTCCCTTCGCTCAACCTAAATCATTCAAGTGAATAAAATGTATTGCAGCATTTAGTAGCTGTGACCATTTTTGCTGCTTTCAACAGAAAAACCCTAAACTGCTTTTGGGCTAAAACACCTTAGCAGGCAGGTTTAAATATAAGTAAGAGTGTGCACTATATGTGGATTGTGGATTTTCAGCTCTCCAGTTTCCTGTGCTATTTAGCACTTGTCAGCTGGCCTATGCCAGCTGAACAGTTTACCTGTTTGCTGCTGAGGTTGAAACAGTGAGCAGCTTGTCAACACTTCAAATCTGCCTGTTCCAGTATCTGAATGTTTATTGTCATCACAATTTTTAAAATCTCTATTTTGTATTTATTAAATTTGTTCAGAGAGGATGCTGTAATACTCTTGCTTTAGAATGTGTTCTGTGTTAGATGAACGTGGCTATTTGTGGGAAGTGTTTCAGTCCTCAAAGCAGGCACCTTATTACTTCCACTGTCTCTTGTGTGTGAAAATTGGTGAGCAATTTAAGCCCTGTACTTTAAGGGAATCTGCTAATCTTGATGGATGCAATGTGTGTTCACCAGACTTGCACACTGTATGACCCGCCAAGCCGCCATGAATTGTGGTTTGCCAGGTGCTTGACAAGACTTTTCTCAGGCAGTTGGCAAAAAAAGGGAGTTTCTCAAGCTGCTGGTGGACTTTAGTTAACTTTGTGGACCCAAAAGCCTGGCATAAATCATGAACGCACTAAATGGATTAAATTCGTTTGCACAGTTAAAAAGTCCTGAAGCTCCCCTTCAGGAGTCACAAAGCTGGCCGCTGTACAAATACAAATGATAATCATTGTTATTAAGGCTTGCTACCTGCCCTTCACTCTAAATTCCCAGGATGGGTTACAGTGGCTCAAATAACAGAATTTAAAACCACATAGAACCCAATCACAATTACAACAACAGTCATACATTTATTAGCAATTTCCAGGTAAATCACCAAAATACAGCTGTCAAAGGCCAGGGTGTGTCTTCAGCATGTAACAAAAGGCAAATAATTATGCTGGATGCACCTCTATAAGGGAGGGACTTGCAGTTTTCAGGCTGCCACAGAGAAAGCTGTCTCTTGGGCCACCAGTTCTTGAAACCTTTACAGTGTGTTGGTGTAGATGGTGATTCACTTTAAAATTCGTTGCTGCAATCTAAGTGGCATTTTGCTATTTGTCACTGAAGGCTCCACAGTGCTATCAACACGTGCTGTCTACCTTAATCTAGGCACTTTACAGTTAAGTTCATTTTTGGCCATACTGTATGGACAGATTTGGATTCCACATGGATACATGCATATGGGGTGACTTCTCGGTCCACTAATTCTGCAGAATCCTCAGCTTTGACTTGAAATGGCAGGGTTGTCTTCACAAGCAGCTTGCACATGGTTCCCTTGGGAGATGCATGAAAGCACCATGAAGTTTTCCACATATTAATTGTTCCTTGTGGATTTGGGCATTTAGCTCTTCTATTTAGGGTGCAGTTGCTCCTCTGCAGAATGTGGGTATTAATTAACTTGGATGCCATAGAGGCTGACTTAGAATAATACTCATGTTGTGATCATACCCATGTCTGAAAACATGCTGTCGGTTTTGTATTCTGTCTTGTTCTACCTGTGACATCTATGGTTTGTGCAAACTGCACTGGCTTCATGCAGTTTCTCTTTTATCACCTGAAGCAGGCATAGGCAAACTCTGCCCTCCAGATGTTTTGGGACTACAACTCCCATCATCCCTAGCTAACAGAACCAGTGGTCAGGGATGATGAGAGTTGTAGTCCCAAAACATCTAGAGGGCTGAGTTTGCCTATGCCTGACCTAAAGCTACATTTCTGGGTTTGCTTGTTTCATTTGAGACAGGGCCAATCTTTGTGTGGGTGTGGGCATGCTATGCATACTTCACTTAGGTACATTTCATCCTTCCCTGGTTCATGCGTTTGCTTTGCATAGTGGAGGAGGGAGCTTATCCTCACCATCATGCAGAGAGAGGGCATTGTAAACTGTGTGCTGTATGCAAATTTATGTTCATTCATGCAGTTATCTTTCCTTATAGGTGGACCTTGGTATGCCTGAGCACTGGTACGGATCACCCAGTTAATGCTAGATGTCTGATAATAGAAACATGCCAGTTCCATACCACAATTCAGTGTGTAGATGATGAACTGCAGTTAATTTTTCAATGGGAGTGGAAGCTTCTGATCTTATCTTTGTGGCCATGCTGGTTGGAGAGCATTTTAGCTTGGAGGGAGGGCTAGGCTTGTTCTTGTAATGCTAAGCCACAGTTAGCGTTGAGTCCACGTGCAGCCTCTAAATCGTGGGCTGTAATGGTTGCATTTCAAATGATCTAGATAACCTTTTAGTTTCATTCAGATGACCTCTCACCCTACAGAATGTAATAGATTTGCTTCTCAAACTTATAGTAAGCCAACAGAGACATCAGAGAATCATTTCTTGTGTTTGGGGGGGGGGGGGAATAATGCAAGATTGTCAAAGAGTCGTGTCCAGAGTATGCCAGGCACTCCCGTCTTCCATTGCCTCCCGCAGTTTGGTCAAACTCATGTTCGTAGCTTCAAGAACACTGTCCAACCATCTCATCCTCTGCCGTCCCCTTCTCCTTGTGCCCTCCATCTTTCCCAACATCAGGGTCTTTCCCAGGGAGTCTTCTCTTCAATTTGGCACATTAAAGAGCATGAGTCTCTTAATCTCAGGGGTGTGGGTTTGAGCCCCACATTGGGCAAAAGATTCCTGCATTTCAGGGGGTTGGACCACATGACCCTCGTGGTCCCTTCCAAATCTACAGTTCTATGATTTCATGTGTGTGTCTGATGAGATGCAGTATTTACTTGTACAAGAAATATTGGGTGGGATTCACCTAACGTGTCTTGTCGGCAGAAGCCCTGTGCAAGGACTTCTACTTGCACAATGGGGCTCTCGTCCCTTGCCTCTCCCTGTGCCCTCCAAGAATTGGTTCAGGGGCTGGGGGAGGAGTCAGAAGAGCTACTAGAACAGTGGAGGTGGGGGAAGAGAGGGGGCATCATTCTGTCTGGCAACCTGCAATTATTGGGTAGATGTAACATTTGTAATAGCACAATGTTGAATTGCACCCATTAATTTCTAAGCAATACACTTGCAGCACTGCCCTGTCCTATATGTAAGGGTAATGCCACCCTTGGGCAGAGCCGTAGCTATGGGGTAGGGGGGCTTGCTGGGTTTTTTTTGCCCCAGGTGAAGCCTCCAGAGGGGCACCATTGAGGCTACCAGCCTGTGTGTGTGTGTGTGTGTGTGTGTGCGCACATGTGCATGGGGTGTGCATGCCAAACTGGGTCTTTGACCCAGGCGAAATAAAGCCTGGTTTTGCCCCTGCCTTGGAATAATCTAGTGGCATTAATTTGTGCAATCTCTTTGCAATTTTCACAAGTGTGCAAAAGCTGATCGCAGCTGAGGAGCCCAATTCAGCAATGCAAAATAATGGAGAGAGTATGCTGCGAAAAGAATGTTGCTTATACCATTTGGCTCCTGGTAGTAGCCTATAGCGGATAAATTTGCTATTTTGCTACTGCCAATAGCTTCCTCTTACTGCTCATAGACTACGATGAACCAGTGTTAGAAACTGAGATATGAAAACTAGGAGCTAAATGGCACCTTAAACCTAGGCTGTGGGCACAACAACAGAATGTCTAGGCACATTTTTTTATAACAACAATACAAAGCTGAAAATGAAGGAGCTGTAGATAAAATTTTACGTTCATTTTTCACATGGTCTGTTCCTTCCCCTGCCCACCCCACCCCCATAATATTCTTAAGAGGGTCTCTGCTCCAGTCTTCAAGGAGTAGCTGGAAGTGCAGAGGCAGAAAAAGGTCTTCCTTCCACTCTGCAGTTTTAATCTGAAATCGTAGGCACAGTACTGCGCCCAGAGCTGAGAAATTGCTTGAACTCCCCTGCCGCAAAATGTGCCTAGAACAATGGGAGTTTCGAACACTGCTAGGAACTTGCCCATCCACCTGTCACTTCTTGTGCTAGGCCATTGTGGGAAATGGGATGCTGGACCAGATAGACCAGGGGTCTGCAACCCGCGGCTCCGGAGCCGCATGTGGCTCATTTACACCTTTGCCGCGGCTCCGGGGCAGATACTAGTGAGGGGAGGAGGCGCATTGTGCGCCCCGACACTCCCCACTGTGGCGGGCGCTGTACTGGCTGTGACGTCGCATGGGGGCGGTGCATGCGTTAGACATGCACCGTCCCGACGTCACCTTCCCGCCCGCCCGCTACATTGTAAGGGGCATGTACGCTGGCCACTGTTTTGAAGGGGAGTGAAGAACACACACACACACAAAAAGGTAACTTGTTAATTTAACGTTTATTTCTATGAGGAGGAGTAATTCTGAGGGGTCAAACAAAGAAATAATTTTAAAAAGTGACAAAAAAGTTATTTTTATAATGACGAGTTTTGCGGCTCACAGTTTTTTTTCCTTCGGAAACGGGTCCAAGTGGCTCTTTTTGTCTTAAAGGTTGCAGACCCCTGAGATAGACCTTTGAACTGATCCAGCAGTGTTTTTCTTACGTTCACTATTCTAGAATTAAAAAAATAAGCTGTGTGTGTGTGTTCACTGTTCAATCTACCTGTTAAATTAAAAAAATGCTGTTTTTTGTTGTTAAACAGGGAAGAGACTGCAGGAATGGATTAGTGTCATCCTATGTTTTTCTCTGATGTCTTTCAACTTCTACCATCTTCTCTTCTGCTTGAGACTGGAACATGCCTTCTCAATTATTTTTGGGATATGTAAGTACAAACTGATTATATAATACAGTAGGCGAATTGCAGAAGTGCACAGTGGAAACAAGGATGCCATCATAAATGCTTATAGCTTAATCCTTAGCACCCTAATTAAGGGAAGCATGTTATTATCTGCAGCATCTATTCCATTCAGGTGTGCTGTAGAATAGGTGAGGGCTTAAACTGAGTAGAGCAACGCACACAAGCCGATGCCTGTTGCCTTCACTTATGATCCTCACACACTGAACACAAAGTCTGAAGTAGGATTCGAAGTGTGTTCAGCTGAGCATGCTTAGAATATTCCCTGTGACTGAGAACCTTGATAATGCAATGTTCCCATTCACACGGAGGTTTTTAAGCTTGTTCAGTTGGGTAAATATAGAATTTTCATCAGAATTTCATGCCAAGTGAGCAGAGGCTCGAAGTTTCTTCCTGTGGGGATGGGGATGTTGGGGACAAGGATAATATGTGTGATCCTGCCTCCTCTCTATACTCATAAATCTTGGGCTCTTGAAGGTGGCTTATAAGTTGAGAGCAATAAGATTTGGTGTGGTGGATTTGGCAAAGTAAAATCTGCAAAAGAATTGGTTTTTGTAAACATCTTCAAGTTTAGTACCCATATCCTTTGAGCCGTCTGGTAGAAGTGCTACCAGTCGGATGCCGTGAGGGCATATATTTTCGTTGTATTACCAAACTGCATTTGGCGTCTCAGAAATGAGAAACCAAGTAGTCACCTGGTATATAGCTGAGCTTCCTGCTTCCTGCATTTTTGCACTTGTTGCTCCTGCTTGCACAAGTCAGCTTGGCAAATAGGAGCTGTGTAATACGCAGCCTACCTTCGGGTTAACTGAGAAATCCGAAACAGAAAATGTTCCCTTAGCCATATTAATGCCACTTCAGTCATTTGGAATGCTGGTTTCATTGGAACCTTCCATTGTGAGAGTGGCTGCTGTGTGCTGACCCCAGCAAAAGAGGATTCAAGGTGACTTCACTGACTTCTGTTGAAGATGCTGTGTTGGTTGGGCTAGCAACATTTAAAGTTCTGCCCTGACTTGTGCTGTCCAATAACTTACTACCATACCAGCACCTGGCCCAAGAAACCCTGAGGTTTGGCTAGCCCTTCCCGGGACCGAGCATAGGCCCTGCCCTGTGGAATGTGTTGCCTATAAGCAGTTCAGCAGGAGCCACTATTACTTGCTTTTAGATGTCTTCTAAGAGCTAGGGATGCGGGTGACGCTGTGGGTTAAACCACGGAGCCTAGGGCTTGCAGATCAGAAGGTCGGCGGTTCGAATCCCCGTGACGGGGTGAGCTCCCGTTGCTGGGTCCCTGCTCCTGCCAACCTAGCAGTTCGAAAGCACGTCAAAGTGCAAGTAGATAAATAGGTGCCACTCCAGCAGGAAGGTAAACGGCGTTTCCGTGCACTCCTCTGGTTCGTGCTGCTGGCCACATGACCCGGAAGCTGTATGCCGGCTCCCTCGGCCAGTAAAGCGAGATGAGCGCCGCAACCCCAGAGTCGGCCATGACTGGACCTAATGGTCGGTGTCCCTTTACCTTTACCTTTAAGAGCTAATACTCAGACAGGTCTTTCAAACCTGAGATGCTTTGCCAACTAGCTTTACTGATGTGTTTGACGTGTTTACAGCTGTTTTTATTGTAATACTGTGCTGTTAGGTTGTATACTGCCTTGTGATATTTTACATGAAAGTGTGGTTTATAAATTCTTAAATGAATACAAAGATATCATTCTGACACCTGATACATTTGCAATAACTTTATTTGACTGGCTCCTCGGCACTTGAGTGTAAATTGTCAATATTTCCTGTTCAGGGAAATGGCTAATGAGTGGTACTTAAGGGCTCCTGTGTAGAGAGATTGAACTGTGGTTCTTAGAAGTTCTGTATTGGAGCTCTGCGTTGCGGGCCAGACAGTTCTTCCACCTTGGCTTAGTTTGGAATATCAGGGATGTATACTTTGGTGTTGTCATTCATAAAATGTATTTGTTGACTTTCAGAGAAATATTGCTGCAATTAATGCTGCGTATGGTGGTGTGCTTTATGAGAGTGCTTGTGTGAAAGCCATTCATCTTAATACAGGTCACCCAGCAGCAGCATTTTGTGGCTTGTTCTCTCTGGCTTTGGGATCTGGTTCTGGTTTGGGATTCTGTTAACATCCTGTGTCTAAATGTAAATAGCAGCTGTGTGGGAAACTGGAGCAGCCTCAAATGTGGGGAAGCTTCACAAAAACAACCTCTCTGGAGCTGCTACTTGCATCTCAAGGGACGCTTTCACAGAGCAGCTTCAGAGAGTTAAATTTGGCAGGGACTATGACAGAGAGAAACTTCTGTTCCACCCACCCACCATCTAGAGGCTGCTTAAATTTCCTTGCAGCTGCTATTGCATTTTTTAAAAAAATGTATTTATTGCCTTCACATATAAATTGTTCTTTTTTGCATTTTATTACAATTAAACCCAATCATTCGCAGTTTTCCCTTCTGGTCATTGTACATATCTGCTGAAGATAATTTTTTAAAATTCTAATTCATTGGATTTCTTGCCTGTCCAGGACGGGTTACAATAATAAAACAGACAATTATAAAACAAATAAAATGATTGCATAAAACAAGAAACTGCTATGACTTTATGCAGCTGATGAAGTGGCCACTGGTCGATGAAAACTCGAGTGATAATAAATTCGTTTTGCTGAAATATATTAAGCAAGGATGGTGTTAAATGAAGTTATACTGAGAGTAGATTCATAAAAATTACCGTATTTGCGCGAATCTAATGCACCATTGAATCCAATGTGCACCTCAATTCCAGGGGTGTCCAAACTTTTTTCAAAGAGGGCCAGATTTGATGAAGTGAACCTTTTCTTTTTTGGGGGGGGGATTGAAGTTGTTGAGCTTTTTATTGGATTTTACCCCAGGAAATAAACTGCCACAGGGGCAGGGGGGTTGATTAAACCAACTGGCGGACCAGATTAGGCCCCCGATACGGACTTTGGACATGCATGCCTTAAAACCATTTGCTGGCTCCATCAAATCTAATACACACCCTAATTTTTGCGACACGATTTGGCCCCAAAAGGTGTGCATTACATTTGTGTAAATGCGGTAATAAACACGACTAAGATAGGCCCACTAATTTCAGTGAGTCTTCTCTGAGTAAAACTTCCTTCAATATCATCCTTGGTTTCAGCAATGCCACTCATGGCTGTTCTTGAGTGGACGGGTTCTTATAGCTTGTTTGGGGATGAATATGTATCAATGCATTCAATGGGCATTGAGCTGCTGAGCAAGTGCCACCACCACCTTCTCTTTCTTTTCAGAGGAATTCTTTTTTTTAAAATAAACCAAAACTTGGCTCAGTCTTGCTTGTAGAAATATATATGGAAGATTCACCTGCTTTTAGTTCTCATTCATGTTATTTGATAGCAGGTACTTCTCACATCTACGGTGATAAGATCCCTAATCTGTTGTCAGTTCAGCTACTAATTGATAAGGTTGACAACTTAACTGATAATATTATTTAGATAGTAGTAAATTATTAAAATAGTGGAATTGTGATTCAGTGTAAGCAGAGCTTCCTGGCAGCCACTGGCACTCCCTTTTTTTTTTAAATGTTATCTGTGGTCTAGATCCAAAGAAGCAGCCAGTTGCTTACACTTGAGGAATTCCTCCAATGTCATGTGACAAGCTGAATTTCTATTTGCCAGGAGCTCTTAAACAGGGCTACTAAACAGTATAGCTGTGTGTTCTGTAGGCTTACATTCATTTACTCAGAGGGCGCTCCATAAACTGTTGAGCAAATTAAAACTGTGGCATTACGAGGTTAGTAATTGTTCAGGACTTTAGGCACCCGTTGTTAACTTAAACAGCAATAAAGGGGTTGCTGCTGCTGTTATACTGTGATGTTGATGGAAACCCAAGAATACTGGATTCTTGCATAAATCAAACATAGGCGTCCTGACTTGTAGGTTCTAGTCCTTAGGACTTGTTCATTCCCTTTCTAGCAACTGATATCTAACCTGCACATCTCAAAACCTCTTCCATTGAGTAGCTGTGATATTGCCACAGAGCTTTGTTGTCTTGCATTAACGAGCTGCAGAGAACTAGATGTGGAATTCTAGCCTGGAGCAGAGAGGCTCGTTGAGAAGATTGTGTGCAAGAGCAACCTAATGTTTCTTCCAATTCTTATTTTGGTATCAAATGGGAAGCGTTTTTAATGCCTGTTGTTTTAAGCCCTGTGGCTTTGACTGGAAAAGAGGAACTTAGTGCAAATGTGTGCACACTAGATTACACTTAAGTCTTAAGATCTAAGGTACTGTATGTACCTTAGCAAGGCAGCTACCCTTCCCCCCTTAGCAAAGTTCAAGAACTGGACCCTTGATCTGTGGGTTGCTTTGCAATAACATGCCGGCAATTTTCCAACAAGGCTGAATATGATGGGGGTGAAATTTCATGCACTTTAAACTGACATTTGTCCTAATGTCAGAAATGAATTTACAGGAGGATAATAAGCAAGCTGTTCGCTTTTTAATGAAACATGATTTAGATTTTGAAACAGATGCTTCACAGTGGTGTTGCTCCTATCACAGTTTTGCAGGGGTAGAGCTGTCTTGCTCCTCGGATAAGCTCAGGCACTAGGAATCCTAATGTGTACAGGTATGAGAATGCAAGTACTGTATTCGAGTCTCCCCATTTCACTACACTTTGTATCTGGATGAGATGTGGGCGCTGAGAGGCTGTGAACCTGCTCCTCCTTTCTCTTTTAAAAAAGCAGATAGTTTCTTGTCTGTATTTTGCAGTGCTCATTGGCTAGAGAAACACTTCAGATTCTAGAGCGATTTCACCAAGCTGGCAACCTCCAGATATTTTGAACTAGAACTCCCATCAGCCCCAATTAGCAGAAATGAGTGATTAACTGCAGTTGTTTATTTATTTTGTAAAATTTATATACCGCTTGATTGTAAAGAAAACCTCTTAAGCAGTTTCCGAAAAGAAACCGGGAACTGTAGTTCAAAACACCCGGTTGGTGTCAGGTTTAAAATATAAAACAAAGCCAGTAATTTAAAAGCACATACAGTACACTTGGCTAAAATCACGTGTCAGAATTGCAGTCCCGAAACATCTGCAGGGCACCAGGTGGGCTAACGTTGCCCTAAAACATACAATAAAACTGTAACATTAACAATATTAAGAGGCAGAAGCTAAAAGCATAACACCAACCTATGTCATTATGGAACTTAAGGTGTCTGGGGAAACTGGTAATGTAGGCGCCACATGTTGGGTTTTCTGTAACCAGGCATCACCACCACCGAAATAGCTGCCTTTATGTTGCGTAGTGTGCTTCTGATGAGAAGGCACTTGGAGATCTGCTGAAGCTCTTCTCCAAAGACAGGCAGGCTGGTACTCAAGTGGTTCTGTCAATTTGAAAATGCTTTCTTGGGAACTTCAGTGCCAAGCAATGGATGATGTCAAGTGGTGCGAGTTTCAACTACTTTGAAACACCTGACCCTTGGGCATCTCCCCTCTTCTCAAGCAAGATGTCTTTTGAATTGTTTAATCAAGCATTTTAGAAGAGGACGTATTCCACTCAATATAGCTACCTGGTTTTACCTTTGGTTGAAGCGAAATGGTTGGTTTCATTCTGTCCCCCCCTCCCCCCTTGTGCATTTGATGAAGCAGCTTCCTAGCCCAAAAAAGCCTTTGTCACAATATCATCATTGATTTTTAATGAATGTGCCTCAAGACTATTTCATTGCTTAACACAGCTGCCTCTGCAATATAACTCTGGACCAATACTCTAGGACAGGGGTAGGCAACCTAAGGCCCGGGGGCTGGATGCGGCCCAATCGCCTTCGCAATCCGGCCCACAGACGGTCCGGGAATCAGCGTGTTTTTACATGAGTAGAATGTGTCCTTTTATTTAAAATGCATCTCGGGGTTATTTGTGGGGCATAGGAATTTGTTCATAATAATAATAATAATAATAATAATAATAATAATAATAATAATAATTTTTTTAATTTATATCCAGCCCTCCCCAGCCGAAGCTGGGCTCAGGGCGGCTAACAATAATAAAAGAATACAACATTCTAAAATCATTTTATTATAAAATTAATTCAAATCAAATTCATGGCAACCATTGGGCTAGAGTTCTGTGAGGATTGCCAAAGGAGGGGGTCAGGCTGTGCCCTGGCCAAAGGCCTGGTGGAACAGCTCTGTCTTGCAGGCCCTGCAGAAAGATGTCAAGTCCCGCAGGGCCTTAGTCTCTTGTGACAGAACGTTCCACCAGATCGGAGCCACAGCCGAAAAAGCCCTGGCTCTGGTTGATATATTCCCCCAAAATATAGTCCAGCCCCCCACAAGGTCTGAGGGACAGTGGACTGGCCCACGGCTGGAAAAGGTTGCTGCCCCCTGCTCTTGGAATATGTCTCCTGTATTTGGCTCCTATAACAGAAAAACCAAAAGGAGCAGTTGCTTGAGAAGGCTGTGGCACTCTGATACTGTTATCATGGTTCCTTTGGTAGGAAAACAAATTCTCATGAGTCCTGTTATCACTATTTTTGAAGAATAGAACCTGTTACTCTGTACTAGATGCATTTCTCCATTCCTGTACCTTTTTCAGCCCTAGTCCTTTCTGACATTTCCTTGATATTTCAAACAAAAAGCACTGGGTGCTCACATGTATCCTTTTCGGATCTGATACTTGAGTATTACTTGCGTTCCTACACTTGGAAGTTTGCGTTCCTACACTTGCATTGCAACTTGGCTTGCCTTTTTAACGTTGTCCCCTGTGCTCCTTGAACAAGATGGTGAGGGTTTATTTGTTTATTTTTGTCAGCAGATACACTGGAATAATAAAAAACAACAACCAGGGGTGGTATCCAACAAATTAGTTCTGTTAATGCAAGAATTACCATATGCACAACAAAACTTCTTCACCCTTCTTTGTGTACTATCCCCAAATCTGTTCCAGAGGGTTGGCAGAACCCTCCGAATTAGGTGGATGTGACGTGGGAGGAGGGGCAAGTTCTGTTGCTCAGCAGGAAATCCTTGCGCCAACAGAATAATAATAATAAATAATATTTATATCCGCCCATCTGGCTGGGTTTCCCCAGCCACTCTGGGTGGCTTACAACCTATCTAAAAACCTAATAAGAACATCAATCCTTAATAACTTCCCTAAACAATTTGGTTTAAGTGTAAACAATGAAATACTCCCTTTCTGGAATATAGAAAGGGATCCCTGAGGATCATCTATTCTACCCACTATGATGCAGGAATATGCAGCTGTCCCATATGAGGATTGTTTACATTGTTGCTGTTGGCCATTTCCTGTAGGCTTCCATGCTTTGAGTTCTATCTAACAAGATGGTTCTATTTTTATTTAATTTATTTGCATTATTCATATCCTACTCTTCTTGTTCCTGTAATCTCAGACTAATAATCAATATTAAACTTCCAATTCTACAATTCTATTAAAACAGTATTTCTTTTGCATAAAAAGGTAAAGGGACCCCTGACCATTAGGTCCAGTCGTGACCGACTCTGGGGTTGTGGCGCTCATCTCGCTTTATTGGCCGACGGAGCCGGCGTACAGCTTCTGGGTCATGTGGCCAGCATGACTAAGCCGCTTCTGGCAAACCAGAGCAGCACACGGAAACGCCGTTTACCTTCCCGCCGGAGCGGTACCTATTTATCTACTTGCACTTTGACGTGCTTTCGAACTGCTAGGTTGGCAGGAGCAGGGACCAAGCAACTCACGCCGTCGCAGGAGCTCACGCCGTCGCAGGAGTTCGAACCACCGACCTTCTGATCGGCAAGTCCTAGGCTCTGTGGTTTAACCCACAGCGCCACCTGCATCTTTTGCATACAACAATATTAAAAGACAATCTGCTAACGACACTAGCAGCCAAGCAAGGGACATCGCTTGAGTCAAATGCTGAGATAAATAGCCATGTTTTTGCCTGGTGTTGAAAGTGAGGTGTTGCTTTTTGCCTACCCATGGCCCACGGCATGAAAATTTAGGGCAGTTTTCCCCAACCTGATGCCCTCCAGATGTTTCGGATTGCAAGGCAGCAAAGCTATGCTGGCAGGGGCTGGTGGAAGTTGTAGCCCAGAACATTTGGAGAGCCCTAGGTTGCGGGAGGCTAGATTTAGGGTGTTTGAGCAGTCATAAGGCCTTTGAGAGGAGAGCCTCTAATGGCAACAGTTTGAATGCAGACAGTCCTTCCAGCTGTACATCACAGCCTGGCCAGAAACCAGTAGCAGGAAGGAGAAGTTAGCAATTGCATCATCCTGGAAATGGACAGCAACTAAAATTAAAGCCGTGCTGAAACTAGTTTTGGAGAGGAGTGGACAGTGATAATCAGGGAAGGGAGGGGGAGAGTATTTGTTGTGTTAGGACTGGTAGGATTGCAACAGCAGTTGGAAGGGAGTGAAGTCATGTGTGCACAGGCATAAGGGGAGAATGACACACTGACTCTGGGGAACGGAAAGCACTTGTTGGATACACATGTGGGCATGGTGTACTTCAGAAGAGGCCCTGGATTTTCCACGGGGCTGTGCCAGTCCTGTTAATTTTGCTCATGAGGTGACATTGGGAAGTTCAACTCTGAATACTCCATTGTTTGTAGGCAACAGTGAATCTATTACTGAGCTTGAAGGCAGAGCATGGACGCGTTGACAAAGAATATTCTGTCTCATTATAAAAAGACTTTTTCATTCACAAAAGGCAGAATGAATTCTGTGGAGGTCTCAGTAGGAACTTTCAGTTCCAAATGTGGAAGCAGGGGTCCACAAATGCCCACAACATAGGAAGTTGCCTTGGGCAGAGTGAGGCCAGTGGTCCATCCAACCCAGTGTTGCTTACACTGATTGGCAGTGACTCTCAGGGTTTCAAGACAGGAAACCTTCCCAGTCCTGCCTGGAGATTCCAGGGATTGAACTCAGGACCTTCTGCATGCAAAGCAGATGCTCTTCCACTGAGCTGTGGCCAGTTCCCTAGGCCAGCTTGACATACCAGCAAGCTTATATTTCTCCTTGCTCCCAATTTATTAAGCCCTCTAGCAACCAGAGAGGACTGGAGGGGAGGCAGCCTTGCCTCCCTTGTGCAGACACTCTGATATGAGAAGAATCAGCAGAACAAATTCCTGCTGTTTCTCATTTGGACTAAAGCATACCTGAGAACCTGTTTGCGGTTCATTGGGAGCAGTGTTAGAAATAAAACAGGCGCCAGGCACATTTTGCAACTGGCTCGGGTCCAACTGAGACGACATAAGAGATTTCTGGATGCCAGGTTGGCAACTGGGGAAAGCAAAATGTCACTTAGAGAGGGATCTGATATATATCTGAGTTTTTAACACTGCTTAGGAGTCTTCCTCACTAGTGGTAAAGGATCACTTCTATTAGGTCAAATGAAATGGCAATTTCTAAGTAAAAATATGGCAAAAAAGATTGCGGATTGGGAAGGTTTGATGCATGAAGAAGTAAAGGTAGAAAATAATACAGTGGTACCTTGGGTTACAAACACTTCGGGTTACGTGTTTTTAGGTTGTGGACCGCGGGAAACCCGGAAGTACCGGAAAGGGTTACTTCTGGGTTTTGACACTCGCACAGAAGCACTAAATCGCACTATGTACAGAAGCGCCAAATTGCGTCACGCACGTGTGCAGATGCGGCGCTGCAGGTTACGAACGCTGTGGGTTGTGGACGTGCCTCCATCACGGATTACGTCCGCAACCTGAGGTTCCACTGTATGTAGCCTTGTGGCTTTGTTACCAGATCTCTTCCTAGACAGAATCTGCTAGCAAACTTATGAAGCTAACACTAAAGTAGGGCCAACGCTTTGTCAAATTTAAAACATGCATTTCTGGAGAGCAGCATTGGACTCAAGAGTCTGCTCTTTCCCAGAATCTTTGCACCATATCATGCCAGACCATGACTGTGAGACTGTCTTCCTCCACAGCAAATCTGATGGAAATATGCGTCTTCTGGGAAGTTATGGCTTCTTGTCACTGTGGTGACAGCTTGTGTGTTGGCTTCTGTAAGCCTCATTCCATCCCCAGCCATGCCTCCCTCACAAGCACATATTTCAAGCCCTCTCGCCTCTGCAATCACACACCGCTCCTGGCATTACAAAAATCACAGTGCAGGCAAGTAGCAGGAACCAGGCACTAATAGTATTGTCAGCACACCAACCCAGTTAACTAACTTGCTCAGACGTTCACCCAGCTCTCACCCGGCAGGGTAACTTGAAGATTTATAGGGGCTGGGGAATGCTGGCAACCAGCAAGCCCCATCACATGCTCCCACTTTGGGGACTAGTTGTTACAACCTTCCTGAGGGGCCTCACCCAGCGATACTTGCTCACAGGATAGCTACTTCATGACACAATGGACATTAAAAAAAACACACCTCATGGCAATCAAGTAGGGTGGTGCCCTTGTCCCAACTCCTGACAACCTCAAAGGAACAGCTTCTCTTAGTGGCTGCTCTTATAACATGCCATACATAGCTCCTACATAGCTCATGAAGCTGTCTTCCCCCAAGACACAGGTGTTAAAAGCCAGTTGTTCAGCAGCAAGGAGCAGAAAATAGCTGCCCAGCTATTCTGCTAGCAGCTATGACTAAAAGGCTAAATGGTCAGGGCTCACAGAAACACAGGGGTAGGGGAAGGCATACAAAAAAATTATGAAAGCTTCTTGATCAAATGTTTGATCAGTCACTTGGCCAGCATCCCAGCCTGACTTTAAAGGGCTCACTTCACTTTCTCTTTACAGTGTTTCCAACTTTTAACTCCTTCATATTCCTATTATAGGTATCCATGCATATATTTCCTGCCAGATCACTTATGAAACCCCAAATGTAATTTCTGTGTTGCTGAATTTATGTTCTGATATTCTACTCATCGAATATTTCACTTTAAAACTCAGCATATAAGGGTCAGCTACACACCCTGCTGAGAACACTAGGAAACCTGTTGAGGCTCTTTGCCTGAGTAGTTTCAGAATACCGTACATAAATTCTGTTGAGAGCTGCTGCTAAATTGCATTAGAATTCCTCATACTTGGCCTGTGAATCATGAATCTCTGTGTGCTTATTGCTGTACTGCAGAATAAGTGCCCAATTCAGGTGAGAGTGGCTCTCATCCTTCCCTATCCAGTAGCTGGCAGCTTTTTCTTGCTTTGTAAGTGGTTAACAAGTCACATTAGTGTCCTGTTTCTTTTCCTGAAGAGAGAGGAGAGATTATTGGACAAAGCGAACATAATTTGGAGCCACATTCATATTTACTCTTGCATTTTAGGAGTATCAGAGACCTTTTGAGCTTCTGTGATTAGAAATTAGGGATAAATTATAATTAAGCATGTACTCCCAAATGTATTGCTCTGCTTTCCTTTGGACCACATCAGCGAGGCCAAGGGGGAGGGTCTTGTCAACCTGGGCAACCAGGACCTCCATATACCGTATTTTTCGTTCTATAGGATGCACATTTCCCCCTCCAAAAATTAAGGGGAAATGTGTGTGCGTCCTATAGAGCGAATGCAGGCTGCGCTGCTAAGCCCAAAGCCAGAACAGGAAGACAGAGCACTGCGGAGCGCTCCGTCTCGCTGCTCTAGCTTGGGGACGGCTGCGCGCAAACCTCTGCAGGGCAGCAGGGTGCCTTCACCCCGCTGTCCTGCAGAAGCTAGCAAGGCTGTTCCCAAGCCAGAACAGCGAGACGGAGGGCTCCGTCTCGCTGCTCTAGCTTGGGGACGGCTGCGCGCAAACCTCTCCAGGGCAGTGGGGCGCTGAGCTCCAAAGGCTTCAGGGATCTTTGAGGCTGGCGGTGGGGGGAAGCAGCGCTTCCCCCCACCGCCAGCCCCACAAGCTCTGGTGAATGTACCTTGAACGCACCTTGTTTTAGAGGGGGAGAACAAGAAAAAAAAATTTTTCCCTGTTCTCCCCCTCCTATGATCCGGTGCGTCCTATGGTCCGGTGCGTCCAATGGAGCGAAAAATACGGTACACTGCCCAGGCTTGTGCCCCGAGTATGTCACTTTTGTGCTGCTAACACAGCAGATTGACTCCTCCCCCCCACCCAATGCACTCCATTGTCTCTTGAGACAGACGGATGCCAATAACTCCTATTAATATTAATGTGACTTAAGAGTGACTGATTTGGGTTGGACCATGGCCTTTATACCAATACATAATACAACTAGATGCAAAATAATACAGAGAAGGTAGCATGAACTGGTAATGTGGAGTATTTGTATTCTTCTGCCAGTGTTCTGCGTATCTTATGGTGCCTTAGCGTTGCTAGTGCCTTTGTGCTGCCAGGTGCATTAGAGATGGAATGCATTCTTGACAGCCTCTCCTGAAACGTTTCGTGTAGCTTATCAGGAATTGCAAACCACAAGCCACAAATTCAATCACTGTAGTACAAGTGATTGCTTACCACAAATTCCCCCCTAATGGCCAGTGCTTCCAGGCAGCAGGCCACAAGAAAAGATTCTTCAGGTGAAGTTCACTAGGCAAAGGTTGGAGACCTGTGCTGCTCCAGATGTTATGTGACCTCAGCTCTCATCATCCCATGACCATTGGCTATGTGGGTTGGGATTTGTTGGTGTAGAGTCCAACACCATCTGAAGGTAGAGCATGAGACTCTTAATCTCAGGGTTATCGGTTCGAGACCCATGTTGGGCAAAAGATTCCTGCATTGCAGGGGGTTGGGTTAGATGACCATCTCCTCGCCCTTGCTGACTTTGGACATACAGTGGTGCCCCGCAAGACGAATGCCTCGCAAAACAAAAAACGCGCAAGACGAAAGGGTTTTTCGTTTTTTGCGTCGCTTCACAAGACGATTTTCCCTATGGGCTTGCTTCGCAAGACGAAACTTCTTGCGAGTTTTTTTTCCTTTTTCTCAAAGTGACCACAAAGGTGAGCTCCGGTCGCGCGGCCGAGGGAAGCCCCGCTGTGGGTCGTCCAAAGTCAGCCCGAGCACGCCACTCACCTAAAAGGCATGGAGAGACGGAGGGAGCGCGCAAGGATCCCGGTGCAGAGGAGGCTCCTGCAGCAAAATAAAGGCAGTCGGCAGCCGGAGGGCTCCAGGACCCGGAGCTGCGGCGGGGCTGTCAATGGCGTTGCCGGAGACTCCTCCCTCTGGGCCTCGCTCTCTCCGCCTTCGCCGCCGCTTGCCCTGCCTGCGATCGGCCGGGCTCATTGCTCCGCTCTGCAGAGCGCAGCGCAAAGCGCGGCGGGACAGGTGTCCAGGGACGCTTTGGCTGAGCGCGCCCGGGATCGGAGGTGCGGGGTGCTTGCTGCAGATCTTATCTTCCGGGGTCGCTGGGATGGCGGCGGTCGGGGCTTGTGTTATGTAAGCGCGTCAGGAGGGACTGCTTAAGAGGCCGGACGAGGCTTATGCAATGGCCAGATGCTCCCTAGGGGTCGAGGCTTGCAGTTGCGGGAACGAGTTTATACCTGTAGCCATTAAGCCGCTAATAGCCGTGCTTCGCAAGACGAAAAAACCGCAAGACGAAGAGACTCGCGGAACGGATTAATTTCGTCTTGCGAGGCACCACTGTACCTGCTCTTGGCTGATTTGTGAGACTGGGTAGAGTTGGGGCAATTAGCCCTGCCCAGGGGCTTCCATAGACTGATCTGGTGTTGGATGTCCATTGTTATTTTTAGAATCTGATGTGCTATTTGCTACTTATCTGCTTTAAATGGCCTTTGCCAACCTGATGCCCTCTAGCTGTTTTGGACTGCTTGGCAAAGGCTGTCTTAAAAGCCCTGGGCTGTGACATCTATTTTCAAGGTTTATATAGCTGCAAGGTCTTTGATGTATAGCATCATTTATCAGGGTTGACTTCAGGGTCCCCCCCCCCCCATACTTCCATTTCCATCCTCTATTTCCACAATGATGTGTACAAGGCAGCTCTCAAAGCCACCAGTCATAAAAGCTTAATAAATGGTCCAGCAATGAAGGTAGCAGTGGAAAGCATCAGAGGCCAAATTAAGAAAATGCCTGGGGTAATAAAATCTTTGGTGCCTGTAGGTCTTGTTCAAGCTGGCCTGCTTCAGCACTGCTCTTCCTTGTTTACCATGCCCTTTTAACTCTCAGGAGAGTTCTCTGTTCCGCATTTGGTGAGAATAGAGTGTTTAGGCATCTCATGCTTGCATTTCTGCCTGGGAGGATTTCACAAGAGTATTATATGCGCTCAGTTGATATCATGCACGCTTATAATGTGATGGAGGTGAAGAGGCCGATAGCCTTTATGAATGTAAATGGTTGCTTTAGAGATGTAGTACGCGCTGTGTTGAGCAAAGTGAACCCCTGCCTGGCTATGCGTTAATGTAGAAAATAATTCCTTTCTGCAAATAGATGAGAAAAAGCAGTATGCTGCTAAAAGTGAATGACCTGTCTTCCAGATTGTTACACTTATCTGCTGTCTGGAATCCTGCTAATTCTGAACCAAATCCTGTTAACTGGGATCTAAGAGAGCTGATCTAAGTGGCCTGATTGGAAGATGAAGTTTGGCTCGCCAGCCATGATTTGTGTGAGCCACGTGCTTAGATTTGCTCATGGCTCAGGGCAAATGATACGAGTTCCCTTGTTAAAAGGTTAAGATATACTGGGACCCAGTGCATCCCTCAACACCACCTTCTTGGCCTATTTAATTGGGACCAGGCTACACCTAATGTTAATTTCATTAAAGGAATTAAAGGAATATGTTTAAGAGTGTAAATAGCTGCTGAGCGACACCCTAAGCAGGATAGTGGCTGTTGCATTGGGAGGGTAGACTTAAGTCTTACTGGTGAAAATCCATCCACTCTCCTGCCTCTTACAGCTGGTTCTGATGGGAGCTTCCCACCCAGGACAGATAGCAGCTTTGGGAAAGGGGGTTTTCACCAGGAGCATGTCAGGGGCCAAAGGGTTAATCCACACACAGTCCTGGCCAAGGGAAGCTTTCATAGCAAATATATGTATATATACTCTGCACCTCATGTGTAGTCGAGCCCTTTGTCCCAACTAATCAAAAGGTGCAAAATCTATGCCCGCAAGATGAGCCTCTTTTTGGTTTCTAGGCTGCTTGTTTGCAACATGCTATTGAACACAGTAGCTTGCGAGCTCTTTATGACTATTTCCAGAGTGCCATGATTAAACAAGCCACACCTTGCTAGTCAAATCAAAGTGCTTTGTTCGTAATCTGATTGCAATGCAGCTCTCCTTACTGCTCCTCTGCTTTGTTGCAGTCTCACTCAAGTACCCAAATCACTCTTGCATTATCATTATTTGTGAATGAAAACTGTCCAGCCTGGTTTACTAGTACTTTATATAGGCCTCAAGTAAATGTTACTGGAAGCTAAACTTCGGAACCTTGTGGGGATTCCTTTTACTTCGTGTCAGGCTGCTAACGTTGGGATCAAGAGGTAGACTTAATTTAATCTTTCTCTCTTGCCCCTGCCCTACCCTGTTAGATGAGTCACTGGTGTAGAAATGCCGTTAACACTTCAGCAGTGTGTGTTGTAGAGTTGCAGTGCAGTGAGCTAGTTTAGCACAGTTAAAACTGAACTGTGAATTGGGAAGCTCCTACTTCAGACCTTGCCTTCGCTATAAAGTTTCTATCAGACCCTGCACTCCCTTGGCTTTCGTTCTGCCCCTGCAGTGTGGTGGTAGTACAGACCCCGCTTACAGGATACCATAAGGATTACTGAGAAAGTATGCATGAAGCTTTTTGAACTTTTAGAAGTGCTTTATTATGAGCAAATGGCTCCTGTGTCAACCTAGAGGGAGGGCCTGGGTGGAATGCCACTTTGTCTTAGGTCCTGTGCTGCTCAACATCTTTAGAAATGGCTCCAATGAAGGAAGAGAGGGGATGCTTAACAGATTTGCAGATCACGGGAAGCTGTTGGAAGGGGTGGCTAAACACCATAAAAGACAGTGTCAAGTTTGGGTTGGATGGGTTAGAATGCTAGGCCACAACCAACAACATGAAATTCAACAGAAATAAATGTGAAGTCTTGCATTTCACTACCAAATTTCAGTGGTGGAAATGCAGTGTGGAGAGAGACCCAACTCAGCAGCAATACATGTGAAAAGGATCTAGGTGTCTTAGCTGATCTCAAGCAGGACATGAGCCAGCAGTGCAGCTGCTAGGAAGGTTAGTGCAATTGCAGGCTGCATTAATAGGAGCATAGTGTCCAAATCACAATAAGTAGTCGTCCCACTCTATTCTGTGTCAGTCAGGCTGCATTTGGAATGTGCTGTTGGTTCTAGGTTTTGCATTTTAAGGAGGATACTGTCCAACTATGGTATGTCCAGGGAGAGAGTGGCTGGGATGGTGAAGAGTCTGGAAACCAAGTCATATGAGCAACAGCTGAAAGAATTAACCTCGTTTAGCTTGGAGAGGAAAAGATTGGAGGGAGGGAACGTGATGGCAAACTTGGATTTACCTGAAGGGCTGGCATGCAGAAGATGGAGCAGATCTGTGTTTTCTCACTTCAGAGGGCGGGAACCAGGCTGGAAATAGGGGGGAAGCTTAGCATCAAGAGAAGCTTCCCAATGGTAAGAGCTGTTTGACAGTAGAAGAGGCTGCTTGGGGAGGTGGTCTGCCCTCTTTCATTGGATGGATTGAAGCAGAGACTTGGTGGTTATCTGCCAGGGATGCTGCCGTTGCATCTGCGCTACAGATCCTGTGCTGAACAGGGAGTTGGACTAATGACCTCAGATTCCATGGATGCTTGTGGGCAGTGGCATGCCATAGCTTACCTTTGGTACTTGCAAAAGCATAGGTGTTTTTGTGTACAAGTTGCATATGAGAGAGGTGGTAGTGAATAGATGCAGCAGTGGAAGGTAAGTAGTTTTTCTTGTGTTTTGGGAGTTGGTCACAGAAGTGATTTATTGTCTTGAGAGGGGGAAGTCACTATGTCAGCCTTTATGTATCTGTCAAAATAGCATTTACACATACTTAAAATTGATCTGAATGTCTCATGAATCTATTTTCTTCTCTCTCCCCTCCTCCCTTTCTCTTTTAAAGTTGCAGGAATCATTACTGCTGATTTTGCCTCTGGTCTAGTGCACTGGGGAGCAGATACCTGGGGATCTGTCGATCTGCCAATAGTTGGAAAGGTTTGTCTTTTTATTATTGGGAAATAATAAACTTCAATAATCTTCAGGCAGTAATAGAACAAAACACTATCGCTTAAGTAGGCAGAATTTGAGTGCAGAGCTTGAGAATCCTGAGCTTCACCTTTTCAGAATTATCCACTGCAGTCATTGTATCTAAACTATTATTTGGCTGTTGGGAATATGCTTTGGGCTTGCACACTCCCTCCAACTCTCTCTTTCACTTCTCAGTTTGCGGTAACCATGGTTGGGCAGGTTCAGATTTCATGGCAAACTTTAGTTAACTGCAAACCAGGGAAGAAGGGAATCCAGTCACGCAAAGGGAGGAGGAACCCCGTGAGCCCAAAACACATTCCTAAAGTCTGGGTTTGGAATCTGTATCTGGCCAAAGTTGCAGGACCTCATGCTTTCAAACGTCTTAAAGCGTAATGGCAAATTGTCATGTGCCAACGTAGATCAAAACAACTTACTCGCATGTGCATCTTTTGGAGTAAGATTACAGGAGCACATGCAGAATGTCTTCTGACCGGTTTGGGACTTTTTAGTGTTATTGAAAACAAGCAAATGTTGCTACTGAGATCTGCAGTACACAGCTTGTGCTTTCTCCCCCACCCCTAATCTACCAATCTGCTTTTGGTACTAACAGTTCATCCTCACTTCACTGTTTGCTGTCGTAATGCTGAGTAATGCAAGTGTCTTCTCTGTTGATCAGACTAATGAAAGACGGCATTTGCTTTCTCCTTCCCTGCTCCCCACTTTATCCCATCTTAATAAGCTTGGTGTACTTAACAGCAAAAAGGACATGTAATCCTAGGTTAAACTGGTTCTAGGTTGAGCGAGCCAGGATATATTGAATAGCCATCCCTGTGACATGCGCTGTTGCTAACTTTGAGATTACAGTGTGTGTGGTGCTAAGCCAGCTCCTAGTCGCTTGCATGGTGATCACACTGTACCTATAAATACAGACACTAACATTTGAATTCAGGCCAATAACAGTGCTTAAGAGTTATCTGTAACCTGTGAGTCCCTGCATTCAAATCTCACCTCTGCCATGAGTTCACAGCGCGTTTGACGTTAAAACAGCCAGCAGAAATTGCACCTTAACACTGTACTGTATCCCTGCTGGAGGAGCACACTCTACCCTGGGTGGGACTCTGAGTTTGGGAAAGTAAGAAAGCTCTATTACAGGAAATGCATGCTTCGCAGGAAAGATGCTAGTTCTGTCTATCTCAGGTGGAGAGGCCTTGAGCCATTCTTGCTGTTGTATCGCAACAGGCGAAACACAAAGGAGGTCTCCTCTACCAAGGTGAGGGTGAAGAAGCAAGTAGGAAATGAGATCAGCAGCCTATGAATATGAGTAGCACTTGGGGGAAGGTCAGCACAAGCTAGGTCAGAAAGGACAGTCTAGGAAACCTGGAGGTTCCTCTCTATTCTTTCCTATGCAGACACATCAGCCTCTAGTTCAAGCTGTGTTGCATCCCAGCACTTCCAACATAGCCTCAGGCAAGCCCACCATATTTCAGTATGGGGAGAGAATAACCTCTGTTCTCCTAGCCCAAGTCACTGTGGCCTAGAACTTGAAAATAAACGAGTTGTCTGCTTGTGGAAAGAGAGAATTCTCTCCAGGTGACAGGCCAGGTTGGTAGGTCTCTTTTTGAGACCTAAATTAACTACGTAGGTAATTTGTGGGCAGGGGTATCTAGTAAAAATTTGTGCAGGCTATGGACTTCAAAGACTGACAGACATCTCCCCCGCCCCCGTATTTACTTTTAAAGGCTTTTATCAGACCTTTCAGAGAACATCACATTGACCCAACAGCAATTACAAGACATGACTTCATAGAGACCAATGGAGATAACTGCATGTTGACGGTAGTTCCATTGGCAAACATGGCCTACAAACTGGTTTCTTTATCACCAGGTAAGTGACTATAAATCCACGAGTAAACTGGACTTGCAGCTTCCACGGTGTACAGTGAATAGGCCTTTGACCTCCGAAGAGACAGGCAGAATGTAGCTGTTTATACGAGAACAGCTGAGAAGGCTGAATGTGTTTGTGAGACAGACTGCCTTTCAGCCCCTGCAAGGAACCCAGAAGTGGTTTACAGTAGTTTTTATCTTTGTGGGTGGAGCAGTATAGTGTCAGAGCAAGAAAAAATAGTTGCAGGTTAGTAAAGGAGTAGAGTGGCATGAGAACTAACTTGCCACCATTTCAAAGATTTTTCTAGAATATTTAAACCATAAGTTGCAAGGTTTATATCAACCTAGTCTTAACCTGATATTTGAAGGTAGGAACCACTTCATCTAGTGTGTACTGTGGCAGAAGCAAAGGTAATCTGTAATATACACCCATGTTAAAAGATGCATCTGGTGAGTGAACCAAGCCAAATACTAAAAGCGGTGGCCCAAAGCATCCCTCTAATTGCTAGCAAGTCTTACACTAGTAAAGGGAGAATGGGAAAGATAACTACCTTGAGATATTGTGATCATTTTCGCTTTGGAAGCGAAACAAAGCCTATTTGGAGCTACCCTGAGGATGTAGCTTGTAATTAAACATCCAACACAATTCTTTTATTTTATGAGTAGCTTAACGTGGATGGAGAAAGGGTGCTTCCAGAATGGGGCTTGATATTGTTAATGGGTTGATCAGTTAGCACAAATGGGTTGTGGGCAATAGTGTTTTGCTTTCGTTTTTAGTTTATTGGGGTTTCCCTGGGAAGCTTAACCCCAGATTAAATGGGGGTTGGAATATGGACGGATACTCTGACACCAGAGATGTTGTGCAGACACTGAAAAAATTGCATGCATTGGGAGCACCCATCCCACCATGAACCGCCCATCTGGAAGCACCCCAAGAGAATGTTTCTGGCGTAGTTAAGTAGAACTTAAATGCCTATCAGTTTGAACTTGAAGGTCAGTTCACGCTTGGCATGGCAAATGTACCCTGATGTTCACAGTGCCGCATGCCTCAAAGTGGGATGGGAAAACAATATAGTCTTGAGCGGTAGACAACACATGTCCTTATCAATAATTGGCTTGTTGAATCAGACAGAGTTCCCTCTGATGAAGCATTCTCGTGTTGTACAATGAACTGCTTAAATGTAACCATCATTTAGAAAGAGTTCTGGTATTTTTTTTGGGGGGGGGGGAGGGAGACCTATGTGTCTAGGCACCTTCTATTGCCAGCTTATTTCAGTGAGAGTCATGTAGATCGTACTCCCTCTTTTCTCCCCCCTTTCTAGAAGCATTACACCAATCGTGCCCTTGGGAGTGTTACGTCTTTGCCCTGGCTATATTTGGAACCTTGACAAACCAGATTCACAAGTGGTCTCACACCTACTTTGGTCTTCCTCGCTGGGTTATCTTCCTGCAAGACTGGCACGTTATCCTGCCACGCAAACACCACCGGATCCATCACGTGTCTCCTCATGAAACTTATTTCTGCATTACTACAGGTAAATAGAAGTGAAGCTTCTCTTTCATTGATGAGCAGACGTCAGGCTTATGGGTTCTATTTTTTCTGCTTTTTCAAAAAAAACCTAAAACTGAAAGCCACCAGCTGGAGCCAGGTGCAACATGTGGGAAAATGTTACGAGTCAAGGAACAGGGTGAATGTGCTCAGCTCCCAGGTATTGGTGACCATTACTGGAATTAAGCGCTTAGGCTCGTCAACACAGTCACTCCTGCTCCCCCCCCCCCCACATGGTGCACTGTGCCTTCCACCAGCTAAGGCTGGTGCACCTGCTATGACTCCTTTTGGACAGGTATAGCTTACAATGCAGTTACCCAAACTCTGGCGGTCGCCTGTAATGCATTGCCTGTGCAGCTGCCATCTGAAACTTCAGCTAGGGCAGCAACAGAGCTGCTGACTGGGACCAGTCAGTGGGGATATATCATACACGTGTATTAGCAACTTGCTATTCCAACACGAGCCTGCTTGTACATTTAGATCTCTTTCGAGTCGCCTCTTCTGGGTGTCGACACCATTTTGGAATGAGGCAGGCAGCGACTGCGGAGAGAACTGACATTGCTGTGAGCGCCCCTTCTTCAGGGATGTTCACCTGCCATGGTGAAGAGGCACTTCTGCCCACTGGAAGTGCATATGCTCTCTGCATTCAAAAACCCCCAGAGCCCAGCAAGAGCCACTGTAATGTAAACAGTGCTAAGCTAGATGGACCCAGTGGTTTGACTCAGTATATACATCAGCTTCGGGTTGCACCAAATGGGGACCGTTCTTTTCCCAGGCTCTTTGTTTCTGGTTGTTTTAACACTCCAGTTCTATCCCATTTTAAAAAATTTGTTTTGTATGATCTGGTAAGCAACCCTGGAATACAGTGGTACCTTGGGTTAAGTACTTAATTTGTTCTGGAGGTCTGTACTTGACCTGAAACTGTTCTTAACCTGAAGCACCACTTTAGCTAATGAGGCCTCCTGCTGCTGCCGCGCCGCCGGAGCACGATTTCTGTTCTCATCCTGAAACAAAGTTCTTAACCTGAAGCACTATTTCTGGGTTAGCGGAGTCTGTAACCTGAAGCATATGTAACCTGAGGTACCACTGTATAGTATATTGAAGTAAATACAGTGGTACCTCGGGATGCGAACGGGATCTGTTCCGGAGCCCCGTTCGCATCCTGAACATAACGTAAGACACGACAGCGTGTCTGTGTGGGTCCCGTTTCGCCGCTTCCGCGCATGCGCGTGACGTCATTTTGACCATTGCGCATGTGCGAGCGGCAAAACCCGGAAGTAACGCACTACGTTCCTTCTGGGTCGCTGCGGAGCACAACCTGAACGCGCTCAACCTGAAACGTATTTATCCCGAGGTATCACTGTGTATAAAAATGTTTGTGAGCAGAAAGAGCTTCTTTGAGTACACACAACTGTGGGGCTAATGTTTTCATCCAGCGGTAGCTCTCTAGTGCCTTGCCTGGGTCTGGAGGGTCAACTTTTTAATGTGTGCAGGGAGCTGGTGCTGGAATGAGGGAGGTTGCACAGAGCAGAGCGCTACCCATCAAAGTTTGGAATCCCTACATTTATTAAATCACATCTGTGTTGCAGTCCTAATTACTGTTTACAGCAATACTTTTACACATAAGACATTCATAATCTGGGACTTGCAAATCAAACCACAGCGGTTTACCATTGGAGCCAACATTCCGCCCCCCCCCCCCCGCCCATTCCTTTGAAAATTTTGACGTGGAATAAATGGTATTGGGTATCATTGTTTCGACACTTGATCTTCCTATGTTTGACAACAACACATGATTCCAGGGTTTATATCTGATAGCTAGCATTCAGTGATATTCAACACCTGGTGTTCAATGGACTGTTATATTTGATCGTTGGTGGCTTGTGGCATTTGGTATTTTGACAGCTAACACTCATTCCAGCCCAGTCTAAATTACTCTTAATTTTGTCATACTAAAATTTGTTTTGTGGCCAGGTTCCAATTTGAGATGTTGAGCGACTCCAGAGCTCTGTCCAGTCTAAATTACTCTTAATTTTGTCATACTAAAATTTGTTTTGTGGCCAGGTTCCGATTTGAGATGTTGAGCGACTCCAGAGCTCTGTCCCCTCAACTAACTGCAAAGTTTATCTTTCCACATTTCCTGTCCTTCACTTTCCCTGCAAGGCGAGAGCAGCAGAGTGTATCAGTAACACCTCTTTCCCCTTGACACAGCTACCGCAATATGTTCCCAAGTTTAAAGGGGATCAGTCGCTGCTTTTGCATCACCTCTTCAAAATTGGACTTGGCATTCCAGTTTTTATTGGCGTGTAGCAACTAATTACAAATGCATGCTAGTTGAACAGGAGCTGTGTGTAAAAGTTGAATAAGCTGGTTGGTGTATGGAAAACCTGTACTAAATCAAACTTGGTTGACAGTTTGCATGGTTTGAAAGTAGCCCTTAAAAATGTGGTTAATGAGACTTGTGTTGTGTTGAACACTTTCAGTTTCAAAAATAAAGCTCCCATATAGGTGGAAAGCTTTAGAGTGCAATTGTTTATACACTTAGTAAAGGTAAAGGGACCCCTGACCATTAGATCCAGTCGTGACCGACTCTGGGGTTGCGGTGCTCATCTCGCTTTATTGGCTGAGGGAGCCGGCGTACAGGTCATGTGGTCAGCATGACTAAGCTGCTTCTGGCGAACCAGAGCAGCGCACGGAAACGCCGTTTACCTTCCCGCCAGAGCGGTACCTATTTATCTACTTGCACTTGAAGTTCTTTCGAACTGCTAGGTTGGCAGGAGCAGGGACCGAGCAACGGGAGCTCACCCCGTGGCGGGGATTCGAACCGCCGACCTTCTGATCAGCAAGTCCTAGGCCCTGTGGTTTAACCCACAGCGCCACCTGCGTCCCAGTTTATACACTTACCTGAAGCCAATCCTATTGAAGTTAATGGGATTGACATCAGGTGACCTGCTTCTACCTGAACCTCCATAAGATGGAGGTACATACTACTCCTGTTGAATGACCGAAATAATCATTTGCCTTGCATTTTACTTTTTTATTAGACTATCTTAAAACAAATTAATTCAATTACCTACAACTGTACTTCATTTACATCTGTATTCTCTCCCTTTCTATCGTTTTCCAGGCTGGCTCAACTATCCGCTGGAGAAAATCAGATTTTGGAGGTTCCTCGAGATTATCATTCAAGGACTGACCGGAGAAAAACCAAGAGCAGATGACATGAAATGGGCCCAGAAAATAAAATAAACTCTTGCCAGGCTTCTGCAGTCCTTATACTTGTTGCCAATATTTTTAAAAGAAAAAAGCCATCAGCCAAATTAAAGACTTGTAAAGAAATAATGGACTAAAGCACAATGCTTTTAAAAAGTGCTAACAGACTGCAGTTAAAGGACTCACTCTTCAAAATAATACTTGAAAATGCAAATGGCTAATTCCCATTTGTACGGAGCACCTTCTGTTAGCCACATCTGCTGATGTTGACCATTTTCGTCCTTGAGTCTCAAAAGCCATTAGTTGGAGAAGACAATGCACCATTTTCTAGTAAGATATGTCATTGGCACAGTAAAATGTGTTGTATCAACATGAATTACCACTTTGAAAACAGGGTTAAGACCAATGTGGAATAATGAAGATAAGCAGACAAGCACTGCGTTTTTAAGGAGCAGGTTCAAACTGCATGGGAAAAAAACCAGCCAGAGGGGAAAGGAGGTTTATGAAATTGTCACCACTTCAATACATTTAATGTTTGGTACACCTTCCAGTTGCTTCATCTTGCTATCATGTCCAGTCTTAGTCTATGTGGTGTGCAACAGAACATTTGGGAGTCTCGTTCTGCTAGTGGATAAGGATCCTTATTGTCGTCTGTCTCCTGAAATAAACAAGTGTTTTTACTTCCTTGATATCTGAGCAGACTGTTGCTGTATAAGCCTGCAACTGACTTGGTAGCAACCTGGGAAGAAGAGCAGAACGTGTTCTGCGCAAGTGTCCAAACATAAAAGACGCTTGTGTTAGGTCGTTTAGTGTTCAGCAGTTGGGATTCCTTTCAGTATGATTCCTCTTCCAATAATCATTGTTCAAAGTAGCTCTAGGAAATTGGGCACATGATTTATATGTTAGAAAGGGATAGGTTAATGGTGTGTATTTTTTAAAGGTGCTTGCTCATTCATGTAAATATTATAAAGCCTTAATCTTTTTGGTGTAACATGGATTAATATTTTAATGTGGTCTGGATGTATATAATATATTTATAACAAAGCAGTTTGATTATACTAATTGCATTTGTTCAGTCTCCTTGCAATTTTTATTTTTATTGTGGTTTGAGGGTGTGACCTCATCTCTAGCAGGCAAATACAAATCACAGAGCAATTTAATATATCATGCTGATCCTGACAAAACCCATGAAGCTGTGAGTGGATTTCTTGATTTGTACAGAATACTGTTGAAAAGTCAGTGTTCTAGAAAATAAATCCATCAGGGTAGATCTGTGGAACTCTGTGCCTCTACAGAACAATTAGAAATGTAGATATTTGTGCTGCAGTGGGTTGATTTAACTCAAGTTTTCCATTGAATACTTATTTCTTAATATAAATCTGATGGCCAAACATGGTTAACTTACAGATAAAAAAAATCCCGAAGCAGTTCACAAAGCAAACTCCCTTCAGCCTCAAAACAGTGTGTTCATAGAATCCTAGAGTTGCAAGGGGCCATGAGGGTCATCTAGTCCAACCCCCTACATTGCCCAGTGTGGGACTTGAACCCACAACCCTGAGGTTAAGAATCTCAGGCTCTACCAACTGAGCTAAGTTAAAACAATACCATAGACTTTTACATTTACAAAAACTGTCACAATAATCAACACACCTTCCAGGCAAATAAAATAACCCAATGAAAGGGAAGGCATGATTTACCTTTGCCATCAGCTGATAATGCCAGACGGGTCTCTAAGATAATTGATCCAACAGCCCGGATTGGAATGATCTAACAACTTGGGAGTCGCTGCGTCATTAAACTTCAGAAAAAATATATATACACAAATAAAGCTGTATTTGACGGACGAAAGGATAGATGATTTTTGACATGAGTGAGAATCATAGAGCAAGGGACGGAGAACTTTAAAGTGTTAAGATCAGGATGTGGAAAATATGAAAACAATGAGAGGAGGTAGGATTGAAGATTTGGAGATATGCTTCAGAGGTCCAGACTACAGGGAGCCAAGAAAAATTAATAATTACAATTTGGACTACAATTTGGTCTTGTCTTTTTAGGTTTTTTTTAAAAATCAGATTATGATGTGGATATATTGATTGGCTATCTTTATTGGAAAATCAGTAAAAATGACTTAATAAAATAAGATGGCTAATGGCTGTCAACACTTGTCCTGCATGTTCTGGACAGCTCAGGGATTGAAGTATCTGTTTTGCATGCAGAAGCAGTAGGGCTGGGAGACCTCAACCTAAAACTGAGAACCACTGTCAAGTCAGTGACAGTGTAGACAGTACTGAGTTAAATGGACCAGTGTCTGATTCAGTATAAAGCAGCTGTTGATGTTCAATTCCTGGATGGGTGCGTGACCATTATGGAATTGTAGAATTGGAAGGTTTCCCGAGACTCATCTGGTCCAACTCCCTGCAATGGAAGAATCTCAACTAAAGCATCCATGACAGATGGCCATCCAACCTCTGCTTGGAAACCTCCAAGGAAGGAGAGTCCACCACCATCCAAGGGAGACAGTTCCACTGTCGAACAGTTCTTGCTGTCAGAAAGTTCTTTGTGATGTTAAGTCGGAATCCCCATTCTGGTAACTTAGAAGCCTTTGAATGTTTGGGTCCTACCCTCCAGAGCAAGAGAAAATAAACTTGCTCCATCTTCTAGGTGATAGCTCTTTAGATATTTGAAGATGGCAATCGTATCTCCTCTCAATCTCTGCTTATTCAGGCTAAACATACCCGCCTGGGATAAGCTGTGCCCTGCAGTCCATTAAAAGATAATAAACTGAGCTACCTGTTTATAAGTCTCTGTCCATTTGCATTCTTTTGTAGGAATCATTTTTATTTATTAAATTCATAAACTCTTCCCCACGAGGTGTAAGTCCCAAGGTGATTGTTAACAACAAAAACAGGACAACAATAGAAAGGGAATACAGATAATATCACGAAGCAGCAAAAATATAGGTAGCCAAATGCAGATGTAACTAGAGCTTCAAAAAGCCTGTGAGAACAGAAATGTTTTAATTAAGCAACAGAAACACATTGAAAATGAAACCATCCATGCCTCCAGGGTGAGGGAATTCCAGAGTAGGGCAACCACTAAGTCTGGAGGGCCAAAAGGTGATAAGGTTTTTTTCCTTTTTTTAAACATGCAAATGAATATGGTGCTACAAAGAGTTGTAAGGTCACGTTATACAAATTTCACATCCCCACACAGAGTGGTACCTCCTTGTCCAGTGGGACAAGGAGGGTCCCCTCTGCCAATCTCAGAACCTTGGCTGGCTGACACAAGGAAAGGCACCTTTTAGGTCCCAAGTTGATGAGGCTTTTCGTATGTCAAACACCTTAAATCGAGCCCTGTAGCATAGAAGCAGCCAGTGATCCTACAAAGTGGGTGCAATGTGGCACAGTATCAAAAGTCCCAGACATGGACCCTGACAACAGCATTCTGCACCAGCTGCAGTTTCTGGGCTGTCTTCCAGGGTAGCCCCATGTGGACTGCATTTCAGTACTCAAGACAGGAGGTTCCTGTTGCATGCAAAAGTGGACAAGCTATCATGATTCACAGACAGCCATAACTTGAAAATAGGTTCTCCTTGCTGCTGAAGCCATGTGGACTTCTAGTGACAAGGAAGTCCTTGTGACAAGGAAGTCCTTCTGGGAGCAGCCCCCCAAAAAGACCCTATTCCTCTAACTCTGTAAAAGGAATAAAATACCTTACCACCATAATGAGAACATTCCTTATAAATGACATTATAAATGTGGAGGTAGCACTCTTTATTTTGTCAAAAGTAGAGTGGGAATGGTATTTGCAGTATCCCTTTTAGAAATCGTTTAATGAAAATCAGTTTGATTTATATCAAACTTGCTGTCTGGTTTTCATCCTCTAACTCTCTTTGGAGGGGATAAATGGCATTTAAAGTGGATCGCTTTTCTTGTTGGTCGTTTAACACAATCTTGTCATTCTTAACATCGGAGATCTGGGACTGCAGGCGGTACAGCTGCAACTTTGGCATCAGTCATGCTATAGATACATTTTGTCATTGTCTCTTACCGTTCCTTAGGTGAACAGGGACTCCTGCTGGCCACAGTTGGCTATTGCAACGACTACATTAAAGGTTAAGTATCCAACTATAGGTGCAAAAGGGTTTGGAAAGGGTACGGTTTTCTCTTTCTCTTTGAATTTTTTTTTTTTCCTCTTCCTGCACACACTCACTATATCATAAATGGCCTCATAAAGTCTCTTTAGTTTCATTGTTTTTATTTTTGTTTATGCGTTTTTACCATTTATATATACATCATACAGTATCCATCATTTATCCCTTTTCCTCAGACTTACCAGTCCATCTCTTCATGGCATTTTAGGTAGTCTCTTGTCTGCTGCATATTCTATTATTCCAATCTTTTTCGTCTCAAATATTCCTTTATTTAGTGCTATCTGCTGCTCAGAAGGTTATATTGACAGTTGCACCCTCTAAGATACTCTCCAAAACACTTCAACTCATCTCTTATCTGTGACTCATCCTTATTTCTTAACTTCACAGTCATACTTAGTAATTCTGTGTATTCTATCATTTTATTCTGCCAAATTTCTTTCCTAGGTACCTCTTTTTTTCTTTCCATTTCTTCGCATATACAACTCTAGCCGTGGCTAGAGTTTGTATATAAAGAGATTGAGTGCCTTTTCCGGCTCCTTAGTTCCAAAAGTGGTTTGCAGTGCAAATAATGTTTGAGAAATAGAAGCCCAATCGTATCCAACTAAGTCACACTCAGAATGAAACCTCCCCCCACCCAAAAAAAGGGAGGAGGCGGGGGCGAGCGCGGAACAGAGCAGGTTCTTTAAAAATGGTTGTACCTAAGACATTTTGGTATTAAATTCCTTCAGGGCAAGTCATCTTAGCAGCAGCTCGCAAGGATAAAACTGCTGCAATGTGCTCCTTTGCTGATATTTGCTGACTAATATGGCTAAAATTAAGTAATGGCTCTGATCCAAGTATAATTTTGTCAGGTACTACCCAGAGTCTCTTTTGCTGCATGTAAGTAGCTGTGCAGCTTTTTGGATCATGCCCATGATGTGAAAAAAAGTTTAATCAATTGATCTATGGGAGAAAGTTTTAGCATAGTCATGCATGTAGTGGGGGGGAAATAATTTCTGTGTGAAGTGTTTCTAAACTAACGCTGCCTTCAACACTTCCCACATTTGGGTATTTTAAACCGTTCACCTTCACTTTGGTCTGTCAATATTTTCATATACACCAACCATTTTAGATACAGATCTTCCAGATGAAGATCTTCATGCATATGTTTTCAAGGTGGAAATTATCAAGACGCTCTTACGTTGCAGTGCTTCGCCCTACTACATGCATATGTTTAGGGTCAGGGTATCACCGTGTGTAGGCCATGGAATGCAATTGCCTCTGGATTAGAGTTTAGGAAAACAAGGCAGAAAGAACTAGACTCTGAGTCCAGTGCATTGGAAAGTTTGCTTGTCCAAAGCCCCATTGGACAAGCAGTGCAACAGCATGCTTGTTTAAAGATGTTTGGCAGGGGAGCTTCTCCTGGGATTGTGGCCTCCATCATCTTAGTTTACTGTCAGCAAAGAGTTGGAAAGAAAGGCCTGGGACCTTCTGTCCTTAACTGCATATCTTTCCATAGGCCACATGCTAGTGCATGGGCAGAACACATGACTCTGTATAGCAGGCTGTATTCCAGACATGGAGAAGTCAGAGGTTTCTACACACTCATGTCTCCATTCAGGCAAGAACCATTATCGCAGTCTAAGAACACATTCCAACTAGGCGAAAGCGGTTGAAGGGGGCATGGAGCGGTGGCAGTGACAGGTGGGGCTTGGAGCAAGTCCTGAGGTCTGGATACAGAGGCCTGAATAATGCACACATCAAGTTTTTAAAATGAAGTGGAACGGTGTGTTTCAAATTCAAGGAAATTGGCTCCTTTGACAAATACAGAAACCTGAACAGTACACGCTTTGTGACAGGTGAGGTTTAACTCTGAAGCAGTCACATTTTTCCTCACTGTCTCACCATCACATCAAGCTTGACAGGCAATGGGGTTTAGCGGTTAGAGTAAATGTTGACTATAGACCAGGAAGACCCAAGTCTTTTTCCTGAATAGCACAGTTGCTTGTTTGATGAGCACTTAAATAACCAACACACAAGATATATTTGCATAGGTACAATCTATATCACTGGAGTAAATGGAAAGCCCTCTACAAAGTTTTAATTTGATTATATTACCTGACTTGCACCTTTGATTTATTCTTAGGCAGCGGCTTGAGAGTGCAACCCAGTGCATACTGAACCTGGGAGTAAGTCTAATAATTGAATACAGTGAATCCTATTTCTGAGTAAATATGCGTAGAATTCCACTATTAAACTCTCAATTTATCCAGGATTTGAGAAAGTTTGAGGCTGACTGTTTGGGGCCCTGACTGACTCTGCTAAAGCCTGACTGAAGCTGCTAAACAGACCCCTGGGCTGGGGTGTCATTTAGGTGCATGTATGTTGTTGCTGGGACGCGAGTGGCGCTGTGGGTTAAACCACAGAGCCTAGGATTTGCCGATCAGAAGGTCGGCGGTTCGGATCCCCGCGACGGGGTGAGCTCCCATTGCTCGGTCCCTGCTCCTGCCAACCTAGCAGTTCAAAAGCACATCAAAGTGCAAGTAGATAAATAGGTACTGCTCCAGCGGGAAGGTAAACGGCATTTCCATGCACTGCTTTGGTTCTCCAGAAGCAGCTTAGTCATGCTGGCCACATGACCCGGAAGCTGTACGCCGACTCCCTCGGCCAAGAAAGCAAGATGAGCGCCACAACCCCAGAGTAGGTCACGACTGGACCTAATGGTCAGGGGTCCATTTACCTTTATGTTGTTGCTCTTATTCATTTTTTTGCATCAATTTTAGATCTTCTTATGATTTCATTGGAAATTGTTTAGGATATGGGTACTTTTTGCTGTTTTATTGTCTACGACAATGTTTGTTATGTTTGTAATTATGTAAGCCTCCTTGAGCATGGCTTGAACTATGGAAAGGTGGCATATAAATAAAATGATGTATGTGTGTGGATAGAGAAAAGCTTTTCTCCCTCTCTCAGAAGACTAGAAATGAAGCTCAATGAAGATTCAGGAGAGAAACACAACGCATAGCGAAAACTATGAATTTTGCTCACACATTTGTTTTTTAAAGGGCAGCATGAGCAGTTCTGTGTTAACAGCAGGAAACCCTGAGGATCTGGGCCTGACATATCTCAGGAAGTTGGACTCCAGATATCATCGGCTTCAGTCCAAATGGTCAGTGACAGTGTTCAGGAATGATGTGGGCCACAGCTTATACAGCCCTGGCTCAGAGTCCTCCGTGTACAGCAGATCAGGTGGGATGGGCAGAACAACGTGCTCCCAGCCCAACCTGAGTTTGGAATTAGCAGCCTTACAACATTTTTCTAAGTATCTTCAGGTGTAAACAGTAGTGGACTCGCAATGAAAAATGCAGCTGAACACCCTAGTAACTGGATTTTCACCCCAAAACTCACAAACTGACCCGTAGACCTAAAATTCTATTCCCCCACTTCCTACTAATGAATCGTGACCATTAGGATTCATTCAGGCTGGGGACTCAGGCAGCTGGCTTTCAGTGTCATGAAAAGGTAGCAAATGTTTAACTTATTCTTTTATTTTTAACTGCCAGGGAGGGCGAGACTGGTGCAAGAAACAAAACAAAACAAAACCTTTGATGGCCTTGGGCTCCTAAAATTGTTGGCTGGTGGGGGTGCCATCTGCCTTGAAGAAGTAAATGGTCTTGGGCTGACCTTGTCCTGTAAATTAATGCTATTATTTTGCAAGAGAGCTAATATGTCATCTGCAAACCTGCGCCAAAGTTTTTTGCAGTTGTTTTGCAGTGAAAACCTAGCGCTTTGCAGAGCCCCACACCATCAAACATGGGGCTTGTACTTAACATGAACTACCAGAGACATCACCTTGCCAACAAAGGTCCGTATAGTTAAAGCTATGGTTTTCCCAGTAGTGATGTATGGAAGTGAGAGCTGGACCATAAAGAAGGCTGATCGCCAAAGAATTGATGCTTTTGAATTATGGTGCTGGAGGAGACTCTTGAGAGTCCCATGGACTGCAAGAAGATCAAACCTCTCCATTCTGAAGGAAATCAGCCCTGAGTGCTCACTGGAAGGACAGATCGTGAAGCTGAGGCTCCAATACTTTGGCCACCTCATGAGAAGAGAAGACTCCCTGGAAAAGACCCTGATGTTGGGAAAGATTGAGGGCACAAGGAGAAGGGGACGACAGAGGACGAGATGGTTGGACAGTGTTCTTGAAGCTACCAGCATGAGTTTGACCAAACTGCGGGAGGCAGTGGAAGACAGGAGTGCCTGGCATGCTCTGGTCCATGGGGTCACGAAGAGTCGGACACGACTAAACGACTAAACAACAACACCCTCTGATGGCTTTAAAAGAGGATTGGGCATGGAGAATATGCTTTTGAACACCAGTGGCTGTAAAGCAACGGGAGGGGAAAATGCCCTTGTGGTCCAGTCTTAATCCGTGGCTCCCCCGCACCTGGTTGGCCCCTGTGAGAACAGGATGCTGGCCTAGTCGGGCCACACGGGCTCTTTTGTTATGTTCTGAAGTCCCGCCCTCCCGAGCGCCTCCTTTTCCCCGGCGAAATACGTGCACCGCAAAGACGTTTCAAAGCAAAACGAAAACCCGCGCGCTGCGGGCAGGCCAGCTGCGGCGAGACGCTGTTGGTCCCACCCGGACCTCCCTCGGAAGGCGTGTGCGTCTGCGTGCGCTTTTATTCTTTTGGTTCGCCGGGCCCCGCGCCCTCCCGCCCCCGGAGCCACTTACCGCCGCCGCAGCTCACTTCCCGCGTTGAGGTGACGTGGGCGGCAGGGAGGCCGGGCTCGCAGCGACAAGCGGCGCAAGATGGCGGCCACCACGGGCTCGGGTGAGCGGGGGACCCGGCAGCCGAGGCCGGCCTGGCCTGCGGGAGGAGGGCACGGGGCCTCCTCCCCCGACAGCGAGGGGTCGGGGGGTCCTCGGGGGCGGGAGGAAGGAGGGACCCGCTTCATCCTCCCCCCTCAGCCAGGCGGGAGCAACCCGGGGCTCGGCGGCTGGGTGTGTCTGGGGCCCGAGGGGCGGTGGCCGGGGAAGCCGGTGTGCGGTGGGGCCGGAGCGGGGCTGAGGCACGGGGAGGCCAGGGGCCTGGGCCGGGGTGGCGCTGGAAGGCTGGCGGGGCCGGGAGGGGGCCGGTGGGCTCCGCAGGAAACGTGTCAGGGAGGCTGATGGACGGGACCGCATGCGGGCAGCCAAGTAGAGCCTCCATGTTCAGAAGCACTGCACCTCCGAAGACTGCGGCGGCCCTCGCGCCCTCCCTCCTCATTTCTAGCTGCCCTTGTCCGATTTCCTGGCAGGCTGCGACTAAGAAAGCAGGACCTGACGGGTTGCTCTTTTTGCTCTTATTTATTACAATTATATGCCGCCTTTGTCTTCCAAGGAGCTCAAGGTGGCTTGCGTGGTTCACCTCCTCCTCTTTCATCCTCTCAACAACCCTGCGAGGTAGGTTTTTCTCAAACCTGCCCCCCCCCCCCCGCCCTGGATGCTGTCAGACTGCAACTCCCATCACTCCTAGCTAGCAGAACCATTGCTCAGGGATGATGGGAGTTGGGTCCCCAGCTGTTGTTGGGCTACAAGTTTGAGAAACACTGGAAAAGACGGTGACTGGCCCAAGGTCACGCAGTGAGCTTCGTGGCAGAGTCAGGATTGGAACCTTGGTCTCCCAGGGTCAAGCACTCTTAAAAGCATCACGCCACACTGGCTCTTGCGGTTTTATTTGGGGTGGTCACTGAGGAATCCGGACCTGGAATGATAAGCAGCGGTTTTATTTTCTTGCTGGATTATATCCTGCCTGCCTTCTACATTGGAACTTAAGGCAACATGCATGGGACTCCTAGGTGGGCTCCATTCCAGATGCCGATCAGCCCCAGCACTGATTAGGTTCAGCAAGGTGGCTGCATCCTGTGCCATCAGACTGTGCCCTGTGTTCAAGGTTTTTGGGCTTTTTTGGAGCACAGTGTATTTTTCAGTCATTACTGCTGCCTTAAAAAAAGAATTACGTATGTTGGTTTGCTAGCATGGAGGCCTCCAGGTATTTTGTACAATGACTCCCATCAGTCCCAGCTAAAATTGCCAAGTGTTCACAGGTGATGGAACTTGTAGTCTTGGAGTGCACCACGTAGGCCACCCCTGCTGTTATTGTAAAATGCATGGAAGTCCTTCTAGGAAGAAAAATGGATATAAATATGTTAATCTATTTGTTTAGTACAGGATGGGGTGTGACTTCTAGGACACTACTTAGAGAAGAGGCAGGCTAGACAGGAAGACAGATAGATGTCTTGCAAGGAAGCTGCTCTCTAATTATTACTGTCTCATTCATCCTCCAGAATGCTTCTCTTGCTACACAATAGCCCCAAGAGGTTGAATAGTGTAGCATAGTAACAGCTAGTAGCCCCAGTTAGCATGACAAATGGTTGAGACTTATGGGAGTTGTACTTCAGAATATCTGGAGGGCAGCATAGTTCAGGAAACCATGAACCAGGAAGTCTCTGATTCAAATCATGCCTCTGCTATAAGCTCACTAGTAAGGAATTGTTAGGTAAGCTGGGCTCCATCCCTGAGCCCAGTCCCCACACCTATCATGGCAATACTGGACCACCTAACCAGGCCACCCTAAGGACTGCTGCCATTGTTAAGTGAAGCGTTTTGGATACTAAAACATTATATGCATAATAAGTATTTACCAGGTTAGTCTACAAATGATGATCAGAAAGCATCATAGCTGAACAGGGTTTTGAACCTCACTCTCCATGTTCAAGCTCAGCATTGTAACTGCTACTGTCCATAAAACTGAGATCAGTTTTCAGGAGGTAGTAGAGTCAATGATAGTAACCTTTGGTGTTGGTAACAAGAGGATGAGGCATAAGTCAGAATGGTTGATGAGGCATAAGTCAGAATGGTTGTATACTACTTCTTGTAGTATACAATTTTTCTAGATTTCTTACCTGTAAAGAAATGGATGGGCTTCTAGGAAAATCAGTGCAGTATATAGTGAGAAAGCTAGTTAGATCTGGGAAAAATGAGTTCAAGCTCCACCTTTGCTGTGGACAAACCGCATGGCTTTTAGCAAACCATGAAGTTCCGTGGCCACATCCTTATCCTGTAAAATGGGAGCAATTGTGATGCACCTGCCATGATTGCTGCAGTGTGGACAAAGTAATTAGAGGGGAGTTACTCTCTTAATACCCAAATTCATAAGAAGAGCCTTCTGGATCAGGCCAGTGTCCAGCACCACTGTTCTCACAGTGGCCAACGAGATGTCTGTGGAAAGACTAAAAGAAGGATCTGAGTGCAACTGTATTCTCCTAATTGTGATTCTCAGCAGCTGGCATTCAGAGGCACACTCGGAAGTAGTTAAATGAAACTGATTGGTAAGAGATTCAGGATAGACAAAGTCAGGGCAGAATTACAGGAATGCTCTTTCACGTGTGAATTGTATCCATCTCTTGAGTTAGAGTGATCTTGTATTTTTGTTGTTGTTGTTTAGTCGTTTAGTTGTGTCCAACTCTTTGTGACCCCATGGACCAGAGCACGCCAGGCACTCCTGTCTTCCACTGCCTCCTGCAGTTTGGTCAAACTCATGTTGGTGATCTTGTATTTTAACCTCTATTTAAAAGCAACTTGCAGTTTGGTAGCTAATAAAATGACAATTGGGTGCTCACCTTTAAAGCCCAAATGGATTTGGCCCTGTGTACACGAAGGAGTCTCTCCACCCCCAACGTTCAGCCCAGATACTGAGGATTAGCTCCAAGGGTCTTCTGGCAGTTCCCGCAATGCAAGACCAGGCAGAGGACCTTCTTGGTAGTGCCGCCCAGTCTATGGAACACCCTCCCATCAGATGTCAAAGAGTTAAACAATTATGTGACATTTCAGACACCTGAAGGCAGTCCTGTTTCAGGAAGCTTTTAATGTTTGGTGTTTTGCTTTGTCGCTTTATATTTTGTTAGAAGCAGCCCAGAGTGCCTTGGGTAACCCAGTCAGATGGGTGGAGTATGAACTATTATTATTATTATTATTAATTTTACTGATGAAGAAATTTTATTCTCAGGGTTTACCATTGATCTTCTCAAATTCTTTTCTGGCTGTTGCTTCAAATTTGGCTCTGATCAAGATGTTTTAAGGCAAAAATTGGCAAAGGAAATAGCATGCTAGGCTTCTATGGTCAGGTGGTTATTTAGTACTCAAAATCCTTCTTTCCAGAGCTTAGGATAGAATATATATCTAGGGGCTATAACTCTATATAGGGGCTTTGTTACTGTATCCTCACAGCAGCCTTGTGAGGTGGGCGAGCCTGAGTCAGTGTGACTGGCCAAAAATGGCCTAGTAGGCTCCACATCTCCCTAGTCTGATGCTGTAAGCAATATACCACTCTGTTATCACTCCTACTTCCGGGCAAAGTTCTGTTGAGCAAAAATATGTTTCCTGAACTTGTTGGACAAAAACGCCTACTCTCAGTTTTAAAGTGTTTGTTTGTTTGTTTGTTTACAATAACAACAACAACGATGTTGGGAAAAGTAAAAATACAAAATCGTAAAAACACAAAAATCATGAACCAGAGAAATGATTAAAGTTCTCTTCACTCCTCATAACTGATACTTTCTGCCTTGCCTGTGCAGAATAGAGCTATAACATTGGTTTTGTTTTCATGTTCTGCCTTGAAACTTTAGCATAGAGACCTATTTAAATACATTACCACACAGGAAATAATTTTTGAATGAGGAATTGAAAAGCTACCTCTGCTGCTTTTAGAACCAGTTTTCATTTTAGAAGTTTGAGGCGGAAGTATGGTTAACAGTATTTTGCAAAATGTCAGTTAATTACTTAAACTTGCTTGAGGCTCACATTTTTACAGAGATGTTTTTCATTCCTCCTATAAATGTGTTCTGTTTCAGCTACCAGATTTGAAGTGCTGGCACCCCAGTTCTCAGCACTTGCACTAGCTTGGTGTACTATCACTGCAGTGCCAGCCTAATGCCATGTTTTGTGCCATTGCACTACAACAGTGGGTGGTACATTCTCTGTTTGCTCTTGCAGGAAGTTCTAGCACTGGGCTGTTTGTATAAAATGTGATGCTGACATGGGGACCTCATGTCCTTTCATCCTGTCAAGCCTGCAGTCTCTTAATCCTTTGCAGCTGCTGACTTTGCAGTTTAGACTTGGTTGGAAGAAGAACAAGGCAAATGACTTTTATTTTCCTGGATGGCTTTGAGAGCATTCACTGAGAGATGCCACTCTCCTATTTCTCAAAGAAACAGACTTACAGTTTGGGTGAGTGGCTTCCACATAACATTAGGCAGGCACCTTCATTGTACAGTTTTAGGCGACTGCCAAAAGCTTTTATTTGTTTATTTCAGCAAGCCTTTCTGGCCACATAATTCAGTCATGTATATTTGTTTTTAAATTCTGTCAATACTGTCTGTGTTTTACTGAGAATTAATTTAACTGTGTTATGTACACTGTGAGGTTCATTGAGTAAGTGGTTTATAAAATGCCTTAAATAGCAGGATAGCTGGGTAGTAATTTAGAATGTACCAGGCCCATGCACATTCAGATAATGCCTGCCTGTCAGTCTCTACCGCAAGATTGACCTTGTACAGTTAAAAGTAATGAGATGTATCTTCCAATTTTGATCATGGAAGGACACACATGTGTATTGACAGTTATTGCTTAAATTTGAAAAATAAATAATGGGGTTTGGTCATATCTTGAAGGTAGAAGGTGTGGCCTACAGATCTTGAACCCCAACTCCCACCAGCCCTTGCCAGCATGTTTGAAAAAATTCTTCTGGTGTATGTTGAATTTAGCATTGTGTGAGATAGATAGATAGATAGATAGATAGATAGATAGATAGATAGCTATAGACAGATAGATAGGTGTGTGTGTGTGAGAGAGAGAGAGAGAGAGAGGTTTTGAGACAATCTTTTTTGAAGTAAGCAACTAAAAAATAATAATAATAACAGCAGCATATTGAGGGCACCATCTTGGCTACCCCTGGCCTGCAGCGTGGGTTTGGGCAGTTCTTAATACATTTTGGAGCAGAGTGTCATGCTACAGAACTTCTGACAGTAATTCAGGTTAGGGTGGGCCTGCGCTTTTGTCCTTTGTCATGCTTAATTTCTTCTTGTGCTTTCCCCTCATTACTTTTGTATCGCATGAAGATTCAGCACAGGAGTAACAACGTGTAAAGAAATGCAACCACCCTGTGACTGTTTTTGCGGCTGTCAAACATGTGTTCCTCTAGTAGCAGTGAGCAATATATGGTATATGGACAAATGAGGCTGTTAGGCAAATGGTCCACCACACCACTGGCTGTTCTGACTGGCAGAAACTCTCCAGGGTTCCAAACAGAGTGGGGAGGGGTTTTTTTCTAGTCTTACTACTTGAAATCACCCAGAAATGCCTGTATCTTGGGCACCTGTGATGATGAGTTGGCAGCCTTCCTTCTATCTATGAAGCTGTAGTGGTGTTTACCGATTGTCTACCAATAATCCTTGCCAACTGCCCAGTGCCAACGTTTGGAGGAAGGCTAGGAATAGTTTGACAGCTGTGTAGCCAGGCGCTCAAAGAACCTTGGCTGTGCAGGGCCAAAATAACAATACACACCATCTTTAGGCTTTTCACGCTCCAGAGTAGGAAGGGTGGGCAGGGAGAGCATTGTCCAGTGGTGTCTTCAAGCTCTGGTAGCCAACAGTCTACTCTTTCCACCTAGAGATACCAGGAGGGCTTGATGGGAGCAGAGGGTGTTGTAGCTGCTGAGTACAATATTTGGCTTTCCTAAGGGACGCGGGTGGTGCTGTGGGTTAAACCACAGAGCCTAGGACTTGCCAATCAGAAGGTCAGCCGTTCGAATCCCCGAGACGGGGTGAGCTCCCGTTGCTCAGTCCCTGCTCCTGCCAACCTAGCAGTTCGAAAGCACGTCAAAGTGCAAGTAGATAAATAGGTACCGCTCCGGCGGGAAGGTAAACAGCGTTTCCGTGCGCTGCTCTGGTTGTGCCAGAAGCGGCTTAGTCATGCTGGCCACATGACCCAGAAGCTGTACGCCGGCTCCCTCGGCCAATAAAGCGAGATGAGCGCCGCAACCCCAGAGTTGGTCACGACTGGAGACCTAATGGTCAGGGGTCCCCTTTACCTAACAAGGTGAGCAAAAAAATATAGATCCCTGGTTAAAGGTGGGTTCCTAAGCTTGGAAAGGCTAAATGCCTAAAAGCTCTAGAGGATTGTGTGGAAAATCTTGGTCTGTTTGTTTGAAAAATAATGAACACGTAATATCCAGAAACCCATGCTGTGGTCCAGAAAGGGAGATATTTCTTACAGTTTAATAGAAAGGTTAGTAATTTATAGCCTATCTGAACAGTGGGTGAAAGGAAAGTTGATGCTATATTCTATGTTTATGTGAGTTTGAGCAAAGGCTGTAGAGGGGATGTTTCTTTGGGTGAAAAGTAAGTCCCATTTCAAATGCATACATCAGGGATTTCTGTTTGTTTTCAAACTGACAGGGAGCATCTTTTCTAGCAGGTAAATTAGAAGTTAGTTTTATCTGTTTAAAGAAAATCTAAAATGCATTGTCCAAAATGTCAAATGGATTTATGTTTTAGGTTCATTCAGAATAGGCTGTGAAGAGTAGAAACAACAGGATTCATTGAGAATTCAGCATACGAATAATCTTGAAAGGGTTGTTTAAAACTTAGGACAGTTCCAAACCAATTCTCTTTTTTGTAAGTAGGATGAAACCATAATAAGGGAAAGTGTCTTTGGGTCACCATTCTGCCAGATGTTTAACATTCCCTTCTCTCCCTGCTTCCGATTCAGATGGAGTTGGCTCTTGATCAGTAGCAAAGGGGTAGCATTGGGTGCACCCCAGGATCTATCAACTATCAAAATTATGAAAACTTAAGATTTGTGACTATATGGAATTATAGATAAAAGTAGGTTAATTTAAAATAGATTAGCTATAACGTGTGTTCCAAAATGTTATTTTTACAAAGCTGTGTAATATCCATAGAAACCTGTTTGTTTTTTTAAAAAAAATGAGTTCTGATCTCTTTAGAAATAATGAATTTTATTACGAAATCACAATAATCAGCACTGTGATCTCGTGGATGTTATTTTGTTTGTGGTAATGCTGCCTGGCCGTTTCTATTAACGGCATGGAATGGTATTCATAGATTACAGAGAGTAATATCTACCCATGAACTCTGAATAACCTCTGACATAAGATTGTAAGAACTGACTTTCTAGTTTAGACTAAAGGCCCAGCTGGGTAACGAATTGTGGCCAGTGAGCTGCCCTGGGAAGTTTTTGAGCAGTGCAGGATGGAAATAGCTGCCCCTTATTGAGCCCTAGCAGAAGTGCAAGGCCTTTGAATATAAAGCTATTATGGCAAATGTCTTCTGATAAGTGTACCTTACATGAATTTGTCTGATCCGTTTTATGGCTTCTGTTAAGACAAAATATCCTCTTAAATATTTTTTGTTGTTGCATGTGCTGTGTATTCCCCCAGTGGGAAAGGAAAGTTGCAGCTCAGAGACAGTTGCATTATGTACTAAGAACAGGAGAATGAGACATGGATTGCAGAAGCTCTGTGCCTCTTACAATGCCTAGGTGTTTCCTTAGGTGCATAAAAGAGTATAGATGTTTTAAGTGACAAGGAGAGATTGGTAGCAAAAGCAGGTGATAATTCTCGGAAAATATTGTAACAATGAACGGTAGAAGATGCTGTGAATCAAAGGATCTGATACATGTTAATTTCGACAAAGGGGTGGGAAATCATTTGAGTTTTAAACCCCAGTTTAAAGCATAATGAGATCCCAATAGGATGGAGCAGTTTACATTTCATTGCCACATTAAATTCTGCCTGGTTAATATGACAGATTAATATTTTAATTAAGCTTTGGACAGGAAGCAATAGAATGTGAAACACTTAAGTGCCTTTCTGGGTTAATATTGAATCTAATCCTGTATCTCAGACTGGCATGATGCCACAGAGATGCAAGGTGCAAGCTTGAGAGTTTGTTTTCTCTTCCTGCTGAACTATTCCAGTAAAACAATTGTGTAAACCTGATAAATCTGCCATCAGTCAAAATAGGATGGGTAAACTAGCTCAGCCCCTAGGCCATTTAGGTGGCTACCTTCCGGTGCAGAGGCAGACAGTTTGCTCTGCCATGTTCATGTCTGTGCCCTTCCCATTACATGTTTGGTCATGTTCCTGGCAAAAAAAAGTTGTGTGTTGCTTGTTGCTATGCTTTGGGTGAAGTGGCAGCGTTCTTGTGCTTGGGCTCTCCAAAATATAGTTGGGAGGAATCTCCCAGAATCTCCCACAGAGCCCCAGAGTGCCTTGGAAAACAGCAAGAGGGTTTGCCGCTTTCTGACACTCAGCGCAACAGGGAAGAATGCTGACCTCCGCCCCATCTTGAAGGTGGGGAAAGAAACGGGAACCTGGCCCAGCCAGACTGCAGGGGCTCGAAGAAATTTGGAATGCCTCCAAAACATAGCATGACATCTTGGGAGGCGGGCATGGTTGATGTCACGAACAAATATTTGCTGGTTACCTTGCCAGGTGCCTCCTCAGATAAACTAGTTGCAGTGCCGAGCTGCAGGAGAGAGAGAGGACATCTTAAAAATTTGAGGTTTTTAGTGATGTTTCCATAGAAATGTGTTCATTTGACAATTATTTTTAATATTCGGTTGGAAGCTGCCCAGAGTGGCTGGGGAAACCCAGCCAGATGGGCGGGGTATAAATAATAAATTATTATTATATTGTTATTATTGTACAGCAGTGATCTGGAATGCCCCCTCTAGATCATCAATGAAGATTTGGCAGACAGATCATATGCTAATATTGTAGAATTTAAATAATAGAAATCAGAATTTTTACTAAGGGTGGCTTTTTAAACAATGAAATTATTGTTGCCTGATTTGAGTTAATGTATATCTTGAAGCTGCTATCAACCTCTCTGGTTTTTTTGGTTTTTTTTTTACTACTGTAGGTGTCATTGTTCCCCTTAGGATGCAAAGTAACAACTGAGTAAATGATCAGTTCTGCTGCTTGGCACAAAAGTGATAATAGGAGAGAGACAGGAATAGGAGAGACAGGAAACCTGTCACTGTGTCAATTATCTTATCAAGCATTCATTTTATGCTTTGACTTTTGAAAGTTCTAGGATGGCTGTAGCAGAAAAGCTTTGCCAAAGTAAAATCTATTGCGGGTGATAGTTATTCCTAAACAGTGCACCTTAACTTCTTTCCAAAGGTAGAAGTCTGTGCCGCTAACTAAATCCATAAAATAATACAAATGCAAGATTAAAACATTCATAACATACTATTGTGTCATATCATCATAAGCATATGAAGGGGTAACATAATATGTGCTTAATAATAGGTGATGAACACCCATAATAGCGACAGGTCTGTGCTGTTGTCTAAAATGTTCCTTGAGTAGCCACTCATATCAATGATTGGTTAATACTGGTTTTAAATGTTTTTATGTTGTACATTGTCCTGATACTCTACAACAAACTTAAATAAATGAATAATTTTTCTAGTGTTTTCTTCTACTACCTAAAAGGTCAACTCTGGCAGGTCTTCCCTATAGACTAAAGGCTTATCCACATTTGATCATTATTTAGCAGTTAATCCACACACACACACACACACACACACACACACACACACACAATTCAGATGAGACCTAAGTTGTCCACCCCTATACATAATTTGAATTTGTATTTGAGGAGCAACTTGGGTCTTTCCTGTTCATAACAGTAGGCATTCCCTTTTGTGTTTGTCCTTGTTTCCTAATTTGTTGGTTATATTATGCCACTTAAATACAGACAAAGTATGCATGAAGATAGCTGTGTGCAAGAGGAGCACATTTCTTGGAGGAAGGTGTCTTCTCAACTGTGATATATTCTCATGCAAGCATTATTAGTCGTTGAACCTATTTTAAATTGTACCTAGAAGTGAATAAGTTTTTTTTTTTTTTTACTAACTAGAGTATTCAAAAAGTCTTCTGTATAAAGCATGTTGCACAGTAATAGACACGAGTTACAAGAGGTAGAGAAGATGTTTCTTGCTCTTACAGAAAATAGAGCAGTTGGCATATCAGATGTAATTAAAGGTATAAGGAAAATAACATGTGTAGGAATCAGTTCAGTCAAACGCTTTGACTTTGCCCGAAACTGTGAAACTGGAGAGTTAATATTTGTCATGGTTTCACTGAAGAAAAAAATGTAGTAGGTTCACTCAGATGGTTTATAGTATCTGCTAAACAGATCTGAATTGTTTTCTGTTTAGTTCATGTTGCTTATAAACAGTTTATATTGCATTTCCCCCCTGCATCAGACTTATTAAATAATATACGGTAAGCTAAATATTTGTTTCTTAGCTTTCTCATCCTTCATGGAATGTAACTGAAATGTGTTCCAGTGAGTTTTCCCATCACTGTTGGATAGCTATTGTTCTCTTGAGAAAAACCTTTTGGCTGCTAATTTGGAATATACTAGTATACTTAATTCATTGTATTTTGAGTTGTTGGGCGAGGGGGTTTGCCTCTGTGACGTTCTGTTGTACTTCTGTTATATTTTTACTTGGAGCAGACCCTTAGTGGAAAAGCAACTCATGCATTGAACTGGGAAACCCAGCCAGATGGGCGGGGTACAAATAAATTATTATTATTATTATTATTATTATTACTGTATTTTTTGCTCTGTTAGATGCACCAGACCATAAGACGCACCTAGTTTTTGGAGGAGGAAAACAAGAAAAAAAAATATTCTGACTCCCAGAAGCCAGAACAGCAAGAGGGATCTGGCTTCTGGGATAGCCGCGAGAAGCCTCTTTAGGGCAGCAGGATGAAGGCTCCCCCTGCCCTCAAGAGGCTTAGCCGTGCGAAGCCTCTCCCGGGCAGCGGGAGGAAGGTTCCCCCAAGAGCTGTGCTCCCTTTAAAGAGTGCACGGAGTGTGTGTGCGGCTCTTGGGGGCTTTTCCCCAAGGAGCGAGAAGGGCAGTCCTTCTCCTTCCTCGGGGAAAAGCCCCCAAGAGCTGCACACATGCTCCACATGGTTCTTTAAAGGGAGCGTTGAGCAGAGCCTCCCGCCTGCATTTGCTCGATAAGACGCACACACATTTCCCCTTTTTAGGAGGGGGAAAGTGTGTCTTATAGAGCGAAAAATACGGTATATTAACTAGTAGTAATCTGCTGGAGTAGCATGCATCCCCCCAAACCTTGCATTAAAAATAAATGTTTGTTAGACACATGCTAAGATACTGGTGCAGACAGTAAAGCAGCTGGTACTGTTGATTATGTGAAGCAAGACGGTGAACCAAATGGGTAATTGGCCTGATGGAGAGAGGCTGCTTGTTCCTTTGACATGTGTGCAGGATGGGTGAAAACCTGGATTTCTGCATAGTTCTTTTCTTTGCTTCTTATGTTTAGTTTCCCACAACTTTAGTCAGTCAATGGGTACCATTCTTTGAACTTGGGTCCTGTTTCACAGGGGTGCTACAGCACAGCTTAGATCACTAAGAACTGCTTCTTCATTTCTATAAAGTTGAGAGGGCTGCATCACTACATTACCCGTAGAACAGAATTTTTGTTGCAGTTTTAACTTGGTGAGTTTTTAAACCCATTCCTCCATCACTGTTGTCCCCCCAGCCTTCCTTCTGATTGTCTCTGCCACCTGTTGTTGAACTCATAAAAACCAGCACACAAGACTTTCACTGATCATAATTGACACAGTAAGGATGCAGGTAAACCATGCAGTGTGGCTGGCTGGCTGCCACTTTCTGCGGAAACTTGCCAACTCCACAGTGCGTATTTGCATTCAGGGAAAGGCAAAGCAAAGCAGACATCCTGATGGGCATTCTCTCCCTCACACCCCTCCAGCTCTACTCTCTTCCCAAAGAAATGAGAAAGGGCCACAGATAATTGTTACCTGTGATTTTTCTCGGGGACCTGAAGTTGGCTAGCAGATTTGCTTGCATTGTGCCCGCCCAGTGTAGTATATAACTCTTGGGCATGCCATGATAGCCTCTTAAGTCTGGTAGCATAATGTGGTGGTTCTGCCACTTCATTGCGGATTCTCTTTTCTCCAGGCTCCTCTTCGGTATTGTTCTAAGATTTTGTAATTTCTCCGTAAAGCCCAAACGGGATACCTTCTGCAGAAACTAACCTTAGATGCATGTTGTTGTTTTCTTAAAATGTTGTATATTGTTGAAATTGGTGTGCATTGTTGCTCACATTAGTATTATCTTACTTGTAACTTTACTAACTGCACCATTTCTCACTTTTGGGGCTGCAGTCCTATACCCATATCCTTGGGAGAAGCCCCATTGAATTCAGCAGGACTTACTTCTGAGTAAACATTCATAGGATTACATTGTTAATTAATACAGTGTTCAGCATACTGGTGAAAAGCATCAGCTACCTTATTTTATTACCGTAAATTCTCATCTCAAAACTGCATCCTGATTTGTTTTTAGGTGTAAAAGTTCCTCGTAATTTTCGACTGTTGGAAGAACTTGAAGAAGGTCAAAAAGGAGTTGGAGATGGGACAGTTAGCTGGGGTCTTGAAGATGATGAAGATATGACACTTACAAGATGGACAGGCATGATTATTGGGCCTCCAAGAGTAAGCATAAGTTTAAACACAATATCCTATAAATCCCTGCTTTTTCTATGTCTGTTTCTGCCAGTGTGTGACAGGGTTCACTGGTTTTTCAGCTTGTGGCTTTTGTCATATAGGTAGTGGACAGTATGGACCACGTCATGCTAAATACTTGGAGTAAGATTTTTTTTTGTCCAAATTTGGGAATAAATCAATTAACCTAGGTTCAGTATTTCTGTCTTTATCCGTGCTACATGTTGGAAGAATATATGAACCATTTTTAGATTGCAGCAGCAGCAAAACACAATTTGGCTTTGTAAAAACATTATGGGATGTTGCTGTGATTTTCTGTGCCTGGTAGACAATTTGTATTCATCCCCTGGAGTCCAGCATACTCTTTGAGTGACAGTTTGCAGACCAGTAAAATATCAGACTTTTCTTACACCATTTCTAGAAAATAGCATGGTTATCTAAATGGGAAAATGTCATACAGTGTCCCCCCCCCCCCCCCAATGTTCAATAACAGCCATCAATGGGAAGTTTCCTGTGTAGGTGGTGTTAACCATGTTCTGTGATGTCTCTCTTTCTTTCCTTTAAAAAAGCGCTTTATTCTGACATACCCTCACTCATGGGAACATTAACTTGCTGTCATGTAGATGCATGCATACAGACACATCTCTGAGCTGTACTTAGGTGTACTTAGTCATACCATGTACACAAGCACACACAACCACCCACAGGACACAAGTTTTAAAATACAGTACATGCAATGGGGACACTTGCTCTTTTCAACTCCATTCTCAGGCAGGTAAAATAATGCACCCTGAAGTCTCCTCTTCTGCCTGCTTTCTTCTCTTCTTCCTTTCATTACTTTGGTTGGATAATTGCAAGTCTTTCCTGCTCTCAGTTGTTTCTTTTCTTTTTTGACATTCTCTCCTTTTCTTTTAGCTACAGACAGCGTAGCTAGGAGAACGAGAAAGTGTGAAGATAGTATGAATTGTTCTGATAAAATACCTTGGGCCAAATTCAGCTAACAAGCCCACATAAGGACTTTGGCTAGCAGGCTTTCTCCACTCTCCTCCTTCATGTGCCTCCCATGCCCCCAGTTGGCGGTGGGGGGGATTGTCAGGAGAGTCCCCAGAACACGCAGTGGGAGAAAAGATAAGGGGGATTGTTCCATCTGGCAAGCTGAAATACAGTCCATAGCACTGTGTTGAATTCCTCTCCTTATTTATTCTTACCAAAGCAGTTGCAAACTAATAAATATTGTGCCTTAACAAGTTGGTAAGTTATAGATTGCTATCGCAGAATCCATATGTAAACGCTTTTGAGCTCCTAGGTCAGAGTACGAATCTAATTTAGGTCGTATCCAATGCTGCGTGCATGATGTTCCACTCAACGCAATGCAAGTTCCCTTCCCCACATGTCCTCAAATCTTTCCAGAGGGTCCTTCAACCTTCTGAAGGAGATTTGGGGGGGGGGGGAGTGTTTGCTGCTGCAGACAAAAGGAAAGGAAAATTCTATTCCATAAGCAGAAGTCTGCTGCTCTAGTCCATGAGCAGCATTGGATAGGACCCTGAATTTGCAAGTCACTGGGTCACACTGAACAGTGTGCATCTAATGCCAGCTGTTCTTTACTTGTCAATCTTTTTTTAAAAGGAAATTTGGTTCCTGGGAAAGCTAAGTCAGAATGCGGCCCCAAGTCCATTATTATTTTACTGGATCCAACGATTCCACTGAGCAAGCTGTGCCACCTATCTAAAGCCTTTCATTCCCTATCCCATAACTGGTTCAGAATTATGGGAAGGCTGCCCATAGCAGGCTGGGGAGGTGATAAGGGACTGGTGACCCCTCTCAGGCATCCATATATGGAAGCAAAGGTCCTTCTCATGCTGGAGGATCCTTGCAAGCAAGCAAGCCATGATTTAGTGCAGGGTTTCCCAAAGTTGGGTCTCCAGCTGGTTTTGGACTACAATTCCCATCATCCCTGATGACAGGTCCTGCTAGCTAAGGATGATGGGAGTTGTAATCCAACAACAGCTGGAGACCAAAGTTTGGGAAATCCTAATTTAGTGGAGCGCAAGCTTACAGCTCCTTCCTCTCCCACCACTATTTGCAGACCCTGACAACCAGTCATCACAAAATGGGCAAAGTTTGTTCAGAAGAGGGTGGCGTTTTGAGTGATAGATACATTGATTTGTCAAAAAGAAGAGAGAGTGTGATCAGTTACATCTTGGAGATGCAAAGACAAATTTGATGCTTCCATTAGACATGAATGTCCATCCATATTGAGAAGTCGTTTCCTATTGTATCATAAAATCAGTTCATGCAAACAATGACGGCACAGCAGAGTGGGAATGTTATCTATGCTAATGTGAAACTTATCTCTCTGTATATCACCTGAATGTGGTCTTCCTTCCGTGATGGATCATCTGACACACTTTTTTTCCTCCCTCAGACAATTTATGAAAACAGAATATACAGCCTTAAAATAGAATGTGGGCCTAAATATCCAGAAGCACCTCCATTTGTAAGATTTGTAACAAAAATTAATATGAATGGAGTAAATAGTTCTAACGGAGTGGTAAGTGTTACATCCTTTGTGTCCCAGTATTTCATGTACTGTTTTGTTGTCCAGTTTTCAGATTGGAACAGTTTAATTCATCTATCTAAGCATATAGCTGTTTCTTTGTTAAATCTCCGTTCAAAGTTAGTGTCTGCGTTACAGCTGTATGCGTTTGGAAGAATTTCAGTTCTTCCATCATCCAGCTTTTAACTGGTTCAATTTAACCAAGTTTGCGTAATAACCAAAACTGCAGTATAGATAGATGTTTTTTCCAGATACAGTGGTGCCCTGCAAGACGAATGCCTCGCAAGACGAAAAACTCGCTAGACGAAAGGGTTTTGCGTTTTTTGAGTCGTTCCGCAAGACGAATTTCCCTATGGGCTTGCTTCGCAAGACGAAACGTCTTGCGAGTTCTTGCGAGTTTGTTTCCTTTTTCTTAAAGCCGCTAAGCCGTTAATAGCCGCTAAAATAGCCGTGCTTCGCAAGATGAAAAAACCGCAAGACGAAGAGACTCGCGGAACTGATTAATTTCGTCTTGCGAGGCACCACTGTACTGAAGGGAGTACGATAACTTATCAGTTAATAAACAAAACTTGCTGATTGATGGAAAAGAGGTCTTTAGTTTTTTTCTCTGTAAATTTCCTATGGCAGTAACCAGAACTGAAATAGCCTAAAAATAAGCAAATGTGCCTTTCACCTTCCAGCCCTACTAATTTAAATTGGCTTTTGATGATTGATTTGCTAAATCTTTGACTGATTAATTTACAGAATCTGAAGGCCAGAATCTGAAGTACTTTAGATGTGTTTAACTTTGTGTGAATGTGATCTTTTTTTGTGTGTGTATTTTTTTAAAAAACTTATTCTACAAACTCCCCACCACCAGTGGGGTTTTTGAAAATCCAGTTTGGTAAAAGTGATGAACTGCATACATTGGGGGTATTCTTCTTTTAAGAAGTACAACTCAAAAGTTACCTTGAGCGTGTGATAGTACTTGTGTGAGTCTTTAGATCCTGGCAATGGTCATTTTCAGTGTTACAGGTGCAGTGGGAATGTGAAGCAATTTAAAACTCATGGCTGTGGTTCTTTTATTTGTTTTTAGGTGGATCCAAGAGCCATATCAGTCCTAGCAAAATGGCAGAATTCTTATAGTATCAAAGTTGTTCTGCAAGAGCTCCGGCGTCTAATGATGTCTAAAGAAAATATGAAACTCCCTCAACCACCTGAAGGACAATGTTACAGTAATTAATGGAGAAAAAAAAACAACAGAAAAATCATGCCCCTTCATCAATTTAAGCTCTCTCCATTTTCCACAGTAGTAAATTTTCTAGATGCATCTTGTAGACCTCCAAAGTACTGGAAAGGAAGTTCCCTTGCAAAGGAAAGTCTATCTTGAGATACTGTAAATGATACTAATTTTTTTTTCCCCATTTGAAAATAAGTTGTGCTATAACAAATAATGCTGTCATGTGTAACCACTGTCCATAGTTGAACTTCTGGTATCAAGAAAAAGTCTATTTAAATTTATTACTGTCAAGACCAGTGTGGCACATTGAACTCGACTGTGAAAAAAGCATAAAAAGCAAACGTCACACAATCACATTGCTGTGTGTTTGGCCTGGGTTTATCTCTCTCCACCCCCTTTCTCTTTCCCTTTCCGTCTGACTTGTCTGTCCGCAATAGGGTTGACGCTCAGGGCTATTTATTAGGGTAGACACGAAGGGCACAATCCGCGGGGAAGTTCTCCTAGACCTTTGAGAAGAAGCGAGGCTGCGCAAGAGTGTCGTCCCAGGCCGTTGCTCAGATCTCATTCATTCCAGTAAGGCTTGCTGAGGACCATGTCTCAAAAGGACTGTGCCCAAAGGTTTTAATCCCCAGTCCTAGGCTGGGGTTATCTGGACTACTAATGGGATGTGTTGGTATCCTCAGTCATCCCTCCCTTTGTGCAGGCTCTAGTAAAATGCTGAGTGTGTCTCGGGGTTCTTCTTTATTTTCTGTTTGTTTTTTTAAAAGAATACTATAGTATTTTTTTTATTTTGCAAGGGGCTGTGAGAGGAGGCTCTTCTTTCTCCCCATAACCTTTGGCTAAGGCATAGATTGTACTTCTGCACCATCACCTTCCCCCATAATGTGGGCCTTGGGGCAATAGATCCGGGGTGGAGGGGTGTATTTCAGTCTTTTTCCCTTTTCTCATAGTTGGGGTGCTGCTTTCTATTTGCCCCTTCTGTGACGCTGTCTTTTACACCTGGCCAAAAAAAGAGGTAAGTGGCTGGCAAACTGCCTGATTTTATTATTATAATTATAATTATTATTATTTTTGCCTCGTGCTTTCGACTTCTTCTGGGCTATCGGTTTTGGTCTTCGCCAGCTGGGAAAACAAGAGTGTCTGGTTTTGTTTTGTTTTTTGCCCGCAAGTATCCCCTTCCCTTCCTGTCCTGTGGCGCTGCTTCCACACTGCCAAGCTGGCCATGGCTGATGCTATTAGATAGGCTTTTGGTATGGTGAAAAGAGCAGTAATTTACCAGGATTGCTGAAGCCTTTTCAGAATGGCCAGATAGCGTGGAATGATCTTTTATGTAGGAAATTCGAAACAAAACACTCCAGCTCCCTGAGCTGAAGGTCACTACCTCTGCTTGAACGACACATCTTAGGGACAGGTCTGCTCTGTGCAGGGCAGATTTGCTCCTGGCACACTGCAGAGAGGAGGACTCCTTCCTAAATAAAAAATACGGGATGGCAATGCCATGCAGAGTGGGTTAGGGAGACACTGATCGACAAGGCTTCCTGGCAAATCACTTCCTTTTCGGACTTCTTGTTTTGGACCACTGACTGCTGAAACATGGATGCAAGCTTAAATGCAAACAATCTAGTGTGTCCTCTCTTTTTGAGTTTTACAGAATAAAAATGCCGTGTTTGTGTAAAAAGAAAAAAGAAAGAAAACGACAAAAAGTCATGTTTAAAAGCAGAAGCTTATCAAGTCAACGAATAATTGATGTTTCCATTAACTCTTTTTGAGGAAAATATTAGTTGTAAGGATTTAACATCCTCTGTAATTAAAAATTTAACATAACAGTATTCCATAAGCAGCCTTTTTATTGTATCAGACCATTGCCTGATTTTAATATAATAAAAAGTGTGCATTAATATTACTGTGCTGTAATTGTATTTATGTTTAGAATGGAGATGCCTGCTGAGGATTTGGCGCAGGGGACGCTCACCATGCATGGCCCATCGAAGTAATAAGAGCTGAGGAATTGCTTAAGCAGCTTCCGTGGATTGCGTTGGGGCTAGCAGCAATGCGTTTCCCCTCTCATCCATGTCTGCTGCTGTTTAATCTTGCTTAGATTTCGGAAAATGTTTTTAATAGGAAGATCCATTATTTAGGCACAACCTGAAGGCATACTTGATTTCTTGGACAAGTGTAAGAAAATAGCAGCTGGAGAGGCATTCTCATTTAGCAGCTTTTCCCTCTTGTTTACTTTTTTTGCTCCATGCCTATTCCACCTTTCCCTCAGATTACCTTGGGATGTGAACCCAAACAAATTTGGGAGTAAGTCCCATTGCACTCAGTGGGGTTTCCTTCAGAGTAAATTTGCAAAGGATTTGCACTGTTAGCAGAGGTTCCTTGGTAGCCAGGCACTGGTGAGCCCAGTGCAGATTGGAGTTTGAACTGCATCAAGCATCTTCAGGCCATTTTCTTGAAATGAATGCCTTGAGTTAGGAGGGAAACTGACAAAAACTTAGGCCTCCTTGTGGTGTAGCTAGCCCATTTGTTGCAAAGCTAAGCAGGGTGCAGAATGGTTTCGAATTAGATGGTGGGCCCCAGTTGAGATTCCTGCATTGCAGAGGGTTGGACCAGATGACCGTCGGGGTGCCTTCCAACTTTACAGTTCTTTAAACTAGTACAGCCTTCCAAAACCTGGTTCCCTCCAGGTATATTTGACTACAACTCCCATCATCCTTGGCTATTGGCTGTGCTGGCTAAGGATGATGGGAGTTGAGGTCTAGCAACATCCAAACAAGGCTGAGGATGTTAACTGCACCAGAGGTGGGGAGCCTGTGCCCTTCCAGATGTTGAACTCCAGTTCTCATCAACCCCAGCCAGGCGTGGCCAATGGACAGGGATGATGGGAGTCATAGCTCAACAGCATTGGGCTGAGGGGGAGGCTTAGGTTCCCATCCCTGAACAAAGTAAAATGATCCTGCTAGTCAATCCTTCATGGATGGTGAGGGGGCAGACAGTATTTTTTCTACTCTACAGTCAGTTAAATTTCTCTAGACCAAATCTTATTCTGTGCATTTATATAACAGAGGTTGGGTAGGTGGGATGATAGAAATGAACAGCTAACAGGATGTCTGCTTTACTCATTGATGCGATATTGTTTCAGATGCTTGCTGTTCTGCATTTAAGACCTCATTTGTGAGTCTGAGGTTATATTCCCAGGGATTATTTGTCTGAAGGTGAGTGGTCTGATAAACTATACAGTGGTTCCTCTGGATGGGAACGGGATCCGTTCCGGAGCCCCGTTCGCATCCTGAAGTGAACGCAACCCACGTTTGCGGGTGCGCAGGTTGCCGCTTCTGCGCATGCGTGTGACGTCATTTTGAGCGCATGTGCGAGTGGCGAAACCCGGAAGAAACATGCTCCGTTACTTCCGGGTCGCCGTGGAGCGCAACCCAAAAATGCTTAACCTGAACCTACTTCAACCTCTGAGGTATTACTAGATCTATTAGGCAGCCTTTCAGTTAGAGTACCTTGTCTACCACCTATGCTAGAAACCCAATCTTCCTAAACTGCAACGCCATATAATATAATGCAGGGACATCCAACTCCCAGTGGACTGCGATCTACTCACAGTATAAAAAAACCTGGCAGTTATCTACCCATTGTCATTGGGTGGACCAAAGTTGTTGAGCAAAGTTGTGGGGGGGGGGAGATTGCTGAGAGGCCAGAGATCTACCAGGATCTACTGGGAAGACCCCGCGATCTACCAGTAGACTGTGATCTACCTTTTGGACATGTCTGATATAATGCAATATTTTGAGATGGAAGCATTGTGCAGGAACAGACCTCTTAACCTGAGCCGCTGTTTTCAAAAGCTGCCTGATTGCATTCTCCTGAAGACTTTACAGCTTGTTCAGATGCAGAAGAATTTTACCGGAGCGTTCTGCAAAATATTGGAACTGCGATGGTGAGGTGTTCCCTCTGACACGTTTCCAAAAAGTCACAAGCACAAAGGCAGCGAATGTTCCACGAATGTGCTAAAAACGCACAACGCACGAGTTTGAACAAGCAGCACGCAAAGCACTTTGCAATCTGAAATGCTTTCATTTGTGCCGTGTGTTATCCTAACCTATTCTAAAAACGTACCCTGCCTTTCAGATATAAATGCTCAAGGGTTGATGTGCATAGGCAATTCATCAAACTAAGGATGCTAGCCTGGCTTTTAAGGGAAGTACTCCAGTACAAACCAGCTTGATAAGTCCTTTGCAATTGTAATCAACCTCGCAACATATCCTGTTGATATTCATGTTTGGTGTTTTATGTGCAGGGACCTTAAATGTGAAGAGAGAGATGCAGCTGAAGTTTGCAAAAACATACTGAAGCAGCATTTCGTGCAGAGATTTAACAGTGTCTTAGACCAGCTTACCTGTCTTGGCTTTGCTTTTAATGGGGAGTGGCATAGAGAACTGGAAATCATATTCAGTGATCCTTCCTGCTTTTGAGATCTCAGTAGGCTCTGATGTTCCAAAAATGCCTTTACAACCTTCAAGACCCAAGTGACTCTTGAATGCAGATTCTGTAGAGGAAAGCAAGGTTATCAGTATCTAAAAGGAACAAATCCTAAGGGCTTGCAACTTGTGCAGATGTGGCATATTTTGATTCAAACCAAACCCTATTGGCGGTGGTAGAATGCCAGTAGCAATCAGCAGGCGAAGTTCCTCTTGCCAGCGAAGTGCAAAATAAAGTTTGGTTATGGCATTTTTCCCCAGGTACCACGGTCGCTATAAGTAGAGGAAACAGCAGTAGTGCTTGGTTGGATATACATTTCCAACATAAATGCGTATGTTGAAATAGCTCAGTTGGTTAGAGCATGGTGCCAATAACGCCAAGGTTGCAGGTTCAATCCCTATAAGGGACAGTCGCATATTCCTGAATTGCAGGGGGTTAGACTGTAAAACCCTCAGTGTATGGTTGAAAATAGTCGTGTAAGTGAAGCAGAGCTGTGTAGTCCTACAAACTTTCAGGCACCTAAGCACTTCGCCAGCAGAGGGTGTTAGTGAGCTGTACAGCAATTGAGCACAAGTGCTGCCAATGTTCTGTCACTACAATAACGCAACATTTTCTGATTTAATCAGAAGTTCAGCGATTTGAACACCGCCTTCAAGCTGAAAAGTTTGGATCTCTTGCACCGCAGCCTGCCGCCCTTTCCTTATTTAAATGAAACCGGCACAGTGGGAAGAGCGCAAAACATTCGTTTGTGAAATTAATGCAAACTTTCTCGCGCTATTTTGGAAGGGGATTCTGCATTTATTTGTTTGCAGGTCTTGGCATTGTTTCCCATCCTCTCCAGGTGTTGCATAAGCCCTTCATCCTGTGCCCAGTCCCTGATGCTGCCCGGCCACGAAAGGGCAAGCGCACCCTCTTCTGCCAGATGCTAAGCAGATCTGGGATTTTCCAAGGAGCTTCAGATAAAGGAGTAGCAGGGCTGCGACCTCTAGGAGTACAACTGCGGGAAGATTTAAAGGGTATAAATGGTTACTATGTTCCACTTACTGTCTGAGACAGTAATGCTGAATGCCAGTTGCTGGAAGAGGGGAAAGTGCTACTCTTGTGCTCAGGTCCTGCTTGTGGATTTCCTGCAGGGATCTGGTTGGCCAAAGCAAGAATAGGATGCTGGACTGATCTAGCAGGCTTTTAACGTTCTTAATCTGGCAAAACCACAACTTGGAGGCTTTCCTTGCGGTGGTCACAGCAAAGAGATCCTGCACCGCAGAGGGTTGGACTAGAGGACCCTTGTGGGTCCCTTTCAACTCTATGAATCTATTATCGTGCTTTGCTGCTGGTGTTGCATTATCCCAGAGCCTTTTTTAGGTGAGTGTGGGGTTGTCGTTTTTAAAGCCCAGTCCCCAAATTGAAGAATGATCTGTAGGCTGCTGGGATTTGCTTGTAAAACACATCACATATTGCTTGCATTTGCAATTCTGGGCCCAGGGTTCTCCGGCAAGAGGAAATAACTATTAAAGCAGTTTGAGTTTGTCTCTTCCCATCCCCACCACCCCTGACACTGAATAATGTAGCATGATCCCTGAAATGAGCTGTCATAAAAGATCCAGGTGTTGGGAGATGGTGCCGTGCAATGATTTTCTCACTTTCCCAAAGACAATTTCAAGGCAGAGAGTGCCTAAATCTCATCTGAAATTCTGAGCAGGAAATGCTGCCTGCCACTAAGTGTAAAGGGGAGGTGGGGCGGGGAATCAAAAGAAGAAACATGTTGGATCTTCTCTCTTCTTCCTCCTCCACCCGCTACCCCCATCCTTTAACTTTGGAAAACTTGCTTATTCAGCAGACATGTCAAGTGCTGCTGGCCTTAGTAATGAGTCTGGCTCCTACCTATATACTGCACCATTGCTTTTTATATTCTTAATGTTCAGTTCTTTAATCTGCATAATCTCTGGGGTGGGGGCTTGGTGCATTTTGCACTTACGCTTGATTTATGCCAGTACACGGGAGAAAAAGAGGGAGGGGGGAAGAGGTCTTTCTCTAGTGCACAGACTGAATAAAAGAGATCTCTCCCTCTCTCTGTCGTGTGTGCATGTGTGTGCATGCGTGCGTGCACACGCATGTATGTATGTTATTTTCCCACTCTAAGTAGAAAAGACTTCTGCTCCTTTTCTGGCTTTTTTTTCTGTCCCGCTTCTTCCAAATCGAATTTACCCATAGGCCTAAAGCTGTCCTTTTGGTTATCAAATTCAGTATAGCACTTGTAAGGGGACCCCCTTGTAAGATGCATGCTCTGTCACTGTGTGTGTGTGTGTGTGTGTGTGAGAGAGAGAGAGAGAGAGAGAGAGAGAGAGAGAGATTTGACTGTCACATATTAATGAGAAGATTCCAGTAGTGATGGGAGTTGTAACAAATTGTGCACACACATCTATTAGGTTCTTCGGTGCTCCAAGATTTTGTCTTGAGTCATTTAGTTCAATCTTCAGCATCGAGCGTGCTAACTGGAACTGTTTTAATAGATTATAAAACGAATAGGTTAAGAACGAGGTGACGGATTGCTCTCAACCAATTCATCACCGAAGCTACTGAGACGCTTACAGTTAACATAACTTTAATCCGCTGACAGTTCTTGTAGCACTTTAATTTTCATTAAGTCTACTGGCTCCCAGCCAGGGAACTCGTTTCATTACACCTGAGGGCTTATATATTAGTTGGCCTTCTTTTGTTTGCCCCTCATGGTTCATCACAAGCTGCTTTCTGAAAGTTTTAAAAGTAGTTTCCCATGCATAAGGTTAAAGCAGAGAGCGAAAATACCAAAAACAATGCCCTGTTTTTTATTTGGTCAGAACTAATAATGATGCAGAATCATATTATCTGCTTCCAAAAACAACCACCATGCACCTCCTTCATAGAATCATAGAACTGCAGAGTTGAAAGGGACCACGAGGATCATCTAGTCCAACCCTCTGCAGTGAAGGAATACTTTGACCCAACATGGGACTCGAACCCACAACCTAGAGATTAAGAGTCTCATGCTCTACCAACTGAGCTATCCTTACCCTCCCCATAACATTGCAGGTGGAGATCTTTTCATTGTTTGTCTGTTTGACATCTTATGGGAGGGCATTCCTCAGGGCAGGAGCCACCACCAAAAAGGCCCTCTGCTTTGTTCCCTGTAACCTCACATCTCACAGTGAGGGAATCGCCAGAAGGCTCTCGGAGCTGGACCTCAGTTTCCGGGTTGAACAATGGGTGTAAAGCCGCTCCTTCAGGTATACAAGGCCGAGGCCGTTTAGGGCTTTAAAGGCCAGCACCAACACTTTGAATTGTGCCCAGAAACGTACTGGGAGCCCATGTAGATCATTTAGGACCGGTGTGATGTGGTCCTGGCAGCCGGGAAGTTGCCAAACTTCATTCCTTCCGGATCCCGGGCTACCAGATTAGATGTTGTCTAAGGTTAATGGCCAGATGCATGTCAGCTGCTTGGCAGAATTCCAGCTGAGAGCCAAATGAGTGGCGACCCAGGCAAGCAAGTATTAATATAAACATGGCAGAGGCCTAGCCGTCAGCAAGCCATTAAAAACTTCCCACGATGCTGCGAAGGGATGCCGCCTTCCTTAGAGACCCGTCCAGAATTGTACGTATGTAGCTTGAATATCTTGTGTGGTTCGAGTCTGAGCTGCCACCTGCTAATTCAATGCTGGGGCCAAGCCTCTCACCCCCCACCCCCTTGCTCTAGTGGCGCCAGAGCCGTGTGGTCCCTGGAATTTGATTATTTGTGTTAGCAGATAATTTAGGCCAGAAGGCTTAGAGTGCTCTCTCAGTCCGTTAGATGTCGTCATGCTTCCCAGCAAACGAGGCCTTCCCCACCAACCCACCGCAAAATACCCCCCCCCATATTTTTTTAAAGCCTTTTAAAAAGAAAAGCTGCACCTAGGCTCCTTTCAACCGGTTAAAGCCAATTTTGCACAAAGTTCAACTTTAATTTTAATTTTAATTTTTTTTAAAGGAGGATATGATCAAACCTAATGCGGTGTGGGGGCTTTTCTCTCTCTCCCCCCCCTTTCCTGTTTTTGTTGCTTAAGCAGATTTTATGGGCTTCAGCAAAAAGTTGTCGTAAAAACGAGATCTGTGCTGGCGGTGTTGCGTGTGATGGAAAAGAGCAGGCAAGGAACACATGGTGGGTGTTTGGGAATAACATATTTTCTCTCTCTTCAGATAATGATGTCAAATTAAAGTGTAATTAAGATGAAAAGATAACGAGAAAGAAGCAGCAGTTTGGACTTTTTTGGTGTTGTTCGGGTTCCTGTTTTCCATATCACAAATTCAGTCATTCGGGGTCAAAATTTATTTAGTTTGATATGTGTTTGTTTATGTGAGGGTCTTTCCTAATCGATGGACTCCTCACTTTCCTTTGCCTTAATCCTGAACCAATTTACTTTTGGGCATGGTTGGATAGCTGCAGGTTCGATCCCCGGAGGTGACAGCCACATATTCCTTCATTGCAGGGGGCTGGATGTTCCTCAGGGTCCCTTCCAATTCTACAATTCTATAACCCACTGGGTTATAGCCAACTATGTTGTACTCAGAGTAGATCCATTGAAATAAACGAACATGAGTTCTTGCTGTTGTGTGTCCTGTCTTTCCTCCTGAAGCAGCCCAGGGTGGGAAACACATTAACAATTCCAAAAACCATTAGAGACAATATGAAAACAGTGATTTCAGGATTGCAATAAACAGTGTCCTTCAGCTACCAAATGCCTGGGTAAACAGGAAAGTTTTTAAATTTCTCCTGAAAGTTTGTAATGGAGGAGAAAGATTCACCTTACCAGAGACGGCCTGCCACCAAAAAACCCCTGTCAACTGACAGCCCCTAATGGAGGCACTAACAAGGCCTCACTTAACAAGGGTCCAAGATGAGCCGTGCCCATTAACTTCTGTGGGTCTACTCTGAGTAGGACTGGCATTTATCTCCTTGACTTCTGATGGGAGGGCGTTCCCATCGTCTGCCTCAAAAGTAAACTACTGGCACATTCATCTCCAGCTGAATGTTGCCACCCCATATGAACCAGGGATGGGGCACCTCAGGCCTGGGGGCCAAACAAACCCTTCAGGCATCTCTATTTGGCCCCTGGAACTCTCTACAGGCCACACCCCTCTGCACCCTCCCCAAGTGTTTTTACCAGGCCGGAATGTGTCCCCAAATTGTCCCTGCCGGTCAGGGTGAAGGTTAGAGACATTTGTAGCTCCGCCTAGTTTTGCCTCTGGCCCCGCCCACCTGGGAGGTGGCTCTCAGAAGGTTGCATATAAAGGAATGTGGCCCCTGGACTGACAAAGGCTCCCTTACCCCTAATGCAAACTCTGCAGAGAGGAACAGCACCAAGGACCCACAATAGGCTGTTCTTCCCACACACCCTTTTGAAAAGGCTTCACCTGACTGTTGCTACTATTACTCTGTGTGTGGTGGGGTACTGAATGGGTCATTTTAATTAATGAAATCTGCTTCCCTTAGGTAGGCGTCCCTTCAATTAGTTTTGCTATTAAGTGGTCTCCGTTTTTATGATTCCCTTCTTGGGGATAGGATATAATTTTGCATGTTGCTATGGGATTTTTTTTTTTAGTTTGTTTACATAGTCTGTGCTTGATCTGCAGATTGAATCCATCAGGTTGATAGCCCTGTGACATTTTTACACGGGTGAACATTTCCTGTTAAACCATAAATACTTGGAGGGGGGAGGAGGGGGGGTCTAGAGAAAAGGGAATTCTTAAGACGCATTACTACTAAGGTTGTAGTTCACTCCGTTGAAATACCAACATTGAAACAATGATCTCTGTTTACAGAGCCAAAAAAACAAAACTACCATCAAAACGCTATTTGAAAAATGTGCGCTCCAGTGCTCTTTCTGAAATGAAGTAAATAATATAAAATTCCTTCCTGTCTGTTGCGGGATTATAAAGTGGAGCCATACTTTATGAACTGAAGTGCTAGCAAATGAAGGCTTTACTTAAATCTTTTTTGTATACAGAAAGGTTTGTGTTTGTATGCTAGGCTTTCATTAGCTCACTTTGCTTTCTGCCGTGTTCATCATTTGCCCTTACAAATATTTTCTTTCTTTTCCTTTAATGTTATGGTTGCGATACTGCAATAAAAGCGAATGGAGTCACTGGGTTCATGGATCTGTGTGTTTGCACATCCAACATGACCGAATAATGAAATGTGATTTCTCTTGAATATGTTATGAGAGAACCAGGGGTGGGTGATGTTCTAAGCTTGTCATGTGCAAATAACTACCGTATTTTGTTCTTTCTGGAAAAGTTGCGTTTTCTGCAGCCTAACAAAAGGTGGAAGAAGCAGGTGGGAAACACTCAGAGGGCAATGATTTGTCAATGATGTCAGGTAGAGATGCCCCATTTGAAAGTCAGTGAATAAAGTACAAATATGAGAGGAGGGAACTGTATGTTTGTGTGTGTCAGAGAGAGAGAGAGAGAGCTCTGTGGAGTATAGAGAAGAAAGATGAAGGATTGTCATAGCAGGGTTCAGAGAGTGGGAGATTTTTTTAATGGGTTGATTCTGCAACATGCTATCAACATAATAATAGTGCATTTGTGGTAGATTTATATTAGATCAGCCACATGTCTATTTGCATTATTAGTTGTTCTGCAACGCTTCCCCAATGTTACCACATTATGGCTCTCTGGATGGGCATTCTTGCACTAAATAAATAAAAGTAAGGCATTCCTCCCCCTACCCCCTGGAACATTTGTATTATAAGAAGTTGCAGGATTTAACCTTTGGCGATCACTCGTAGCTGAGTAAGATTGTCTTCCATGAATGTGGTCTTAACTGTGAGTCTGTAAGTGACTGCAGAGACCAGTTCTGGATCCACACGTCCTTCCACAGTGGGAACATAGGTTTCCGAGCAGGAGTTGATCACGGTGAGGGTTTGCCAAACGTGCCTTCCTCTTAGCACGTTTCCCCCTTTCCCCCTGAGTTCGTGCTTCTTCAAAGTCCATGACACCTTTGGTAAAAACTATTTTCCAGTTGGAGTGCTTGCAGGCCAGTGTTTCCCAACTTTCTGTGCTTATACTGCATTTTTAAAGATTTGCCTTGAGAGTGTCTTTGAACCTCTTTTGTCGTCCATCGGCATTTTGCTTTCCATTCTTAAGCTGGGAATAGAGTAGTTGCTTTGGAAGACGGTAGTCAGGCATCCAAATGACATGACCAGTCCAACAGGATTTCACCAGGAAGTTATGGGCCGTGCTCAGATTGAAACCAAAGGAGCACACCTGCCTTGAAACCTTTGCCAGTGCAAACGGTGTTGAAAGTGATTGCATCTAACTGCCCCAATACCATCCTGTGTGCGAATCATCATGAATGTGCAACAAACAAGTGAGCACACAGAGGGGGTGGGTGGGAAGGGGGGTATTAACAGTATGGGTTAAAAAAATACCAGAATGGAACCAAAGTGCTTTCCCCCAGTTAACATAGCAATGTGGCCCTCTTGAGGTAATACAAATATTGAAGTGAAGGATAACTGATATCAGGATCTGGTATGTGTATATATCAACCCAATACCCGCCCTGATTATTTTCAGAGAAAGCTCCCCCCCTTTTTTTCATTTACCACATGGAACACTCCTAGCCATTTTCATACCAGAACCAGCATGGGGCTCTGTGTGTTTGCCAAGGCTCCATTTCTGGAGCTCCTGTGGTTATATTAGTGTTAATTGATTGCAGTTGCATAGAGGAATTCTGCGCTTCATTCTTTCACTGTTCCTTCCCCCTCCCCCAACATTCTCTCTAATCTTACACACAAACCTCTTGTCTTGATTAGCCACCCTCCATCTCAGAGCTGTGGCCCTCCTGCAGTGATAGAATGCAAAAATGAAGGGCGGGAGGGTAAAAAATAAGAAAAACAGAAAGCCTTGGAAAGTTATTTCTGGTGTTCCTTGAAATCCCACGGGGCATTTGAAGAGGAATAAGGCTGCATCGACAGTCCCTGTCTGGGAAGAAGACACGTGGCATGTCGTTGGGGGAAATCCTAACACTTGGCTGTAGTTAAACTCGTTGAGCATTTGTCTTCAGCCTGCCTGAATCGGAGGAAACCACAAGCATATTTGCCCAGATGCAGCAGTACAACAGCAAGGAAATCTCAATGGAACCACTAAGGTTGCCTAGTCCAGGAGGAGGTTGCAGGATTAGCAGTCCTTAAAGCCTTGAAATTACAGCGCTCCCTTGGTTCTCAAACTTAATCTGTTCCAGGGGTCCGTTCGACTCCCGAAACCATTCGAAAACCAAGGCGCGGCTTCCGATTGGCTGCAGGAGCTTTCTGCACTCAAGCGGAAGCCGCGTCGGACATTTGGCTTCTGAAAAACGCTCGCAAACCAGAATACTTATCTCTGGGTTTGCAGCATTCGGGACCTGATTTATTTGGGAGCCAAGCCATTTTGAGTACCAAGCTACCACTGTACTAGCATTATCCAAAGGTAAAGGGAGGACCAACTGCAAAAGGCACGAGAGAAGAGGAAAAGCCCTGCTCTAGTCAAAAGTTTTAAAGTGTCCCAACACATGTTGCACACATTTTATATCATTCATTCCCTACAAAAGCCCAGTAAGGCAGGTCAAGAGAAGGCGGATGTTTGCAAGATCTAAAATGTAGAGCCGTTGCATAGTAGTGGTTAGAGCAGCAGTTCTCAGACTCTTTTCTTTGGGCCACGCACAAAAAATTCGCTTGGGCCGCACCAGTTTTTTTAATTGATAAGAAATACATTGGAAAACAAAAAGAAGCAGTGTCTGATTTATAACAAAGAACACAACTACTTTAGAAAATGACCATGGGGCATCCAGAAAGTATAAAGCTATTCAGCTATATGAGAACAGGAATCATTCCCAAAATATAATTATAAACGAGCCTGAAATGTTCAAATGCTTATTTGATTCCCCTTTCCTCTTTCTGCCAAACGCTTTGAGAACCACTGGGTTAGAGTGTTGGGCTAGGACTTGGGAGATCAGGGTCCCAATCCCCGCTCAGCCACAACGTTCGCTGGGTGATCTTGGGCCAGTCCTTGCCTCTCAGCCTAACCTACTTCACAGGGTTGTTGGGATTGATTGGGGGGGGGTGTTGGACCACGTCCACCTTGAGCTCTGTGAAGCAAACGGTGGGATAAAAATGAAATGGAATGAAATAAATGAAACAATAAAATAAACTTGATCTGATGAAGCATCACAGCAAAGGTCTATCTAATCTAGGTGCTTTGGAGACCTAACCGAGCATGAAGAGCAGGGGTCAGCAACCTAAGGCCCATGGGCCGGAAGTGGCCCGTGGAGGTCGTTTGGCCCATGAGCTGCCCCCGAACTGAGTTGCCCGCTCACACGCTGCGCTAAACTGGCGCAGCACGGGGACTCGCTTCCACTGCGCTGGAAATTGCGACTGCACATGCTCAGATGCCGAAAAACGCATCTGTGCAGATGCAGACGCCGAAAATCACAGGTGTGTGTGATCTGGCCCACGGAGGGATCTCTGCGGGACCGATCTGGCCCAGGCAAGATAAACCTTGCTGACCCCTGATGAAGAGCATGCAGCTACCTGTGCCTGACCCAGCAAGGCCTCCTTCAAAAGCTACCTGTAGCAGCTGTTTTGACAGGGCTTGGCGATAGGAGTGGTCCCAAGTGATACCCCTCCATCCAAATCAATGGGAGTTTTGCCAGTGACTTCTCTGCACCAGCAAATATTTCAACACCCCCCCACACACCTCCCACTCTTTTCCTGATTTTCACCATGGACCATGGATTATTCCACACCTGAGATCTCTGCAGCGGATGCTCAGCCACATGTTTTCAATCAGCCCCTCTCCTCATACCCTCTGGTTGGCTTTGCAATTTATTTTTAATGGTCCTGACACCCTTGTTTGTAATAATAAATAGCAAACCCTGGGACAGGATGAAATCATTTCAATTTTTTTTTGGGGGGGGGGGTTAAAGCTTCGCAGCAAAGAAGAAAAGAAGAACAAATCCCCTCAAATCAGGGGGGAAATGTGATGAAGACTATCTCCTGCTCCAGAGAAATAGGATTTTGATATTGCCTCTGTGAAAACACGGGTCCAGATAGCTAGTGTTTCACGGCTTTGACTCTCTGCCAACTTCTCAAGACAAGACTCCCCTTTGTACAGTGCCTGACTCCCGTTTTCAGGGGCCAGAACCGCTCTTTCCTTGTCTTCCAGCCCCAACGTGAGTGAAGGCAAACAAGAAGCAAGGTGGTAGTCTGAAGACATAATATTATTGGTTTAGCTAAGTGAAACACTTAAAAGAGCCTGTGTTGGGAAGGGAAGAGGAAGTGTTAAGGGACTAATCTCATATGGATTTCAAAATGGAGAGACCGTAAATAAATGGGAAAGGGATGTCGACCAGAACCATCAGTGTTGGAGATAGACTGGCTGTTTCATGTTAACTTTCAGTAAGAGGCACAAGCGGATGTCTCAATTTTCATCGGAGAAATGTTGGAGGATATGGTCACAATTCCCAGTGCGTCCTGGCTGGGATTTCAGGGCACGTCCAAGACTGTTGCAATTTAGAGGAGGGGTCCAATCCCATAACAAACTCAGCTGTGCCGCTGATATGGTGCTTTTATTCGTGATTATGGTGCTTTTATTCATGATTATCATGATTATTTACTAACAAAATGAACCAAAGATAAATAGCAATACTATTAAGGCAGGTTGAAAGCAGCAGAAAGTTGGGCATTATCATTGAACCTGTTGTTCAAAAGACATTATAAATACTACCAATTTTTCCACAAGGCTGCTTTAGATGTATTATTTTGTAATGTTAGCTTAATCATAGTTACTATGGACCAAATGTTTTCAACCATTATGATATAGTAGGAGAAATGCTTTCCTCCCTTATTATTTTTTTAGCCATTTGGGGATTTTGTGCAATAATCCCCCTCACCCTCCCCAATCAGACTTTTTGCAATGAAGAAAGTCATGGGGAATTGCACAGGAAAAGTGTGGGATAAATTTTGCTTCCTGAAACACAGAGCGAAAGAAAGATTTATAGATTGCTTAATCAGACAACTCTCTAAGCACTGTTCGTAACGCCTCCTAGGGCTTGTTCACCCTTCCATGAGTCCCATGCCTAGAAAAACTGGGTCCAAGTAGTTTCCCC